TACCAGATCTTTAGACTGAACTTTTTAATTTTTTAAATAAAATTTTACCCCAAATATATTCCTATAGGCAATATTTACCTGGGTAATAAAATCCTGTGCTTTCTGATCTTGCAATAACATTTTGGCCTTTGAGATAATCAAATATTTTTGTTTTTGGTTGTTTCTTTGCCTGTAGTTAATAAAAATGCCGGTATTATATAAGGAATATCTTTTTTTCAATACCAGATATTTGCTCTTTCTAATGTATCATAATAGAATCAACAGAAAACAAAGTACAGATATGCACAACACATTAAGACTTAAAGAGAATAGAGTTGACAAAAATTTGGTCCTATATAATAACATTATTTATAATGAACTGAAGTATTATGATTCAATAATATAATTGTTTTTGAACAGTACAAATTACTGAATTCCAAAGTTATGTCAATTTAAAAGAAAGAAAACAAAATACAATATGATAGACAAATTAAATTTCTCTACTTTTCTACAGTATCAAAAATAATCAAATGGGATTTATAGGAAATGTGTCAATCAAATTTTGAAAAATAAATTAAACCAAAGCTATTAAGAATCTCATTGTCTGATTATTGTATCTTCAGCTATATAATTCAAAGGCTGAAAGCTTTTGTTCAGCCAGTCTTTAAGTCTGCTTTATAATCATCAGCCCAAAAAAACCTAATCACCTTTTTCATAACATTTCAGACACAACATTTCCACAGTTCTTAACAGACTTTGGAATAGACATATACGAGGTTTGTATTTTCAGTTCCTAAAGATGTCAGGTCATAAAGCTGGAAAAGAAACTTCCAATTTTGGCCTCAGATTGTCTTTGCCAATTAGATCATACAATATGACTATCATGACAGAATCACAATATTGGAAGGGGCCATTTAGGCTATCAAGTCTAATACTTGCTCTAACCAGGAAACTGTGTCTAATTCTGCCTTAGACATGAAAGCCAGTTGGGTGACTTTGGGCCAGTCATTCTCTCTCAGCCCAACCTATCTGACAAGGTTGTTGTTCTGGAGAAAATAGGAATGAAAAGGAATATTAGGTACTGTATGTTTGCTGTTTTGAGTTACTTATGAAAATAGTAAAGGTGGGATAAAAAAAAATTTAAATTTTTTTTAATGAAGTATAAAACATGACTCTTCTCCCTGAAGTAAACATAAAATACATCAAACATGTATTTATACAGTACATTGTATGTACTGTATAAAATGCAAAGTGTTCTCTCTCTCTCTCTTTGCTTCTGTCTCTTTCTCTCTTGTTTTTGATCCCAAGACTTGGCATATTGTATGCTTCATTTTCTCCACATAAACTGATTTTAATTAGTCAAATATACCTTTCACTGAATTTTGTTTAAAACTGAATTACATGTGGTCATCTTAAGAACTATAGACTTTCAAAATCCAGATTTGTAAAGCAACTGTTTCACAATAATCTACTTATATACTATTATGGTGATAATAGAGCCTCACTTACAGATTTATTTATGCAATTCTTTAACCTATTTAATAATCCACATGAATAAAGCAATAAGCAAAGAGTTGGTCACAGAAGGCATTAATAAAAGACTTCTATTTCTCTTTGATAGTTAATAAACTTAGGGGTTCTTAAGAAAGTTATTCTCACATAAAAAACAGCTTTTAATTATTTCACAGAAATTACCTTGGATTTGCTAATATAAATGAGCAATTATTAATGGCTGCTAGTCACATTTTTAAATAATTATTTTTCTGGGGAAAGAGAACTTGTATGTTCACTTAGGACGATATAATTCAAAAAGCCAAAGCTTTTCATTCATTCTTGAAGCAAAATGAAATTTTGAATGCTGCCTACATTTCTGCCCTTCAATTCTTAAGGCTTTAAAGATGCAGATTAACAGTTACTAAGGATGGTGTTCTGACTGGGCTGCTAAAAAAGGTTGTCTCAGGATAAGTGATTGCTCTGCGTTAATCACATCATGTCTACAGCATATGCTGACAGTGAGGGGGAGAGGGAAGAGCCAGAATAAGCCTATGAACTAGGGAAATGAGTTAGTACAAATCAAGGTCACAGCAAAATTATCATTGTATAATTTATCAGTCTGATATATCTAAGAAGACATATAAATCAAATATTTAAGAAAGCATGGAGGACAATAACCTTAATGCAGGGGTTCTCAAAAGGTAGTTCATGAACCCTTCCAGATGTTGAAGAGGATACTTCAATTTGGGAGACTTATCCAGGTAAAGCAAGACTGTGGAGTCCTTGCTGCTCTCTGCGCTTGGTGGGTTTTTTTCAGATGTTTTATTACCAAACTAGGTAACATCATCAGTGCACTGACTGTGTTGCCTAGTTTGGTAATGAAATATCTGCAAGAAAACCACCAAGTTCAAAGAGCACCAAGGACCCTGCAGTTCAACCCTGAGCTACAAATATTCTCTTCTATCAAAGCAGAACTGCTGCCAGGATTCATTTCCGCCTATGCTATATCTCTCTGCTACAATTGTCCTATTTGCACCGTCCTGCTTCCAAGAGCCAAGATGCACTTGCCTGTTTTTAGAATCATGTTTGCAACCTTTTCTTCTATCAATTATAGATATAAGGCTAGAAGGACAGGCAGGGTTGAACTTCCTTGACTATTCATTGCAGGGGGAGACAGAAGAGTTTATATTGACTGTGCCTACACATGAGACTCTTAAATAAAATCCAGATACTCAAATGCTTGTATCTTATTTTTGGGTTGTTTATGGGTATCAACTTCTGAAACGAACCTGGTTGAAGCCATCTTTGTTGTTCTAAGTTGCCATAGGTTGGGGGGAAGAGGGGGAAGGAAAATGATAGCATTGCTAGACTAAACATAGAATGGTCCAATGGGAACCAAGGCCATTTCCACAGAAGCTGGAAGGTGGAGAAAAGAAGTTTAACGGAGCCCACCAATTGCTTTTATTGGGTAGCGTGATCAATCGCGTACCAGAGGGGAGGGAATTGTTACATTTAGTTATATTGAATTCCTTAGGAGAACTTTAGAGTTGGTTTCACTTTTGACCATGCCGATATTATGTATCCAATAAACATGTTCTTTGAGGAAACTTCAAGCCTTGGAGTTCTGATTTTTTGGGTTATTAGTTGGAACCTTGACATTAAACCAACTCTCTAAAAAACTCTTGAGGATCTTGAGCCCCGACCGCCTACCTGATTCTTTTGGAAGAACAGAAAAGACTCAGGAAAGATTCCAGATAGAGAATAAAGGGGAAGCAACTACTAATCCCAGCGCACTCCTGCAGATGGGAGCTGGACAGCTACCCAGACCAAAGACAGAGTTCCACTGTTGGGGGCTCGGCTGAAAGTCTCTGCAGACAAGTCTGACAGATGCGGGTGCAGGATGAAGTTCTAGCTATCAGGGATTTATACTGAGCAGAGGAGTACTTCCAGCTCAAGAGTACCCCAAGGCTGCCGAGGCTGAGTTCCCCTTGGTCTCTTCCCATAGACTTCTATCTCTCATGCCAAAATGGAGACTAAAGAGGGAAACAGGATGGGATGAATCAGGGGAATGGAAGTACCTGACAGCAGCCCATGGGCACTCAGTTGAAAGGCTGAAGGAGAAATTCAACCAAATGGAAATTAGAGAAGTGATCCTGATTGCCAGATATGAGATCTCAGCTGGAGCCGAAGCCAACACAACCCAACTGCTCCTCACCCGTCGGAGCCCAAGTCTAGTAATCATGCCCTGTGTGTCTTCCCCACCACCCAGGCCAGCAACAGCATTGAGCCCAGGACCCAGGCAAAGCTCTCCACTCCAACAGTGAGCCATGAGCCCAGTGGGGCAACCAAGAGAGTTCCAGAGATGGACCCAACCTCAGCCATGGCTCCAGTACCAGCATCCTGGTTGACATCCAGCGCATTGGGCACCTCCACCCTTGCAGACCCACAACTGATCAGAACCATATTTGATGGGGTGCCGAATAAGCTGTCTTTCTTTATGAACCAGGTATGGGCTTACTTAGACCCCTACGCTCTGGCCTACCCCAACAAGAGAGTGATGGTGAATGCAGTGGTAGGAAGCCTAGAACAGGAGGCTGCAGAGTGGATAACCAGTCTTCACAATGAGGACGTGCCAGAATTGGGGGATATAGATTTTTTCCTGGAAGCATTAAGAGCCAGATTTGAGGATGAGTCTCAGGCTCTGCAAGCCAAGGTGGAGATACGTGATCTAAAGCAGAGGGGTCAACCCATGAAGGAGTTTGTTTGAGAGTTCTGACAGGTCGCAGGCAGAATAAGACAATAGCCAGAGCTATTGTTAATCCAGTGGTTTAAGGAGATTTGGACCGTGCCCTGTTTCAAGCATGCACCTACAGGGGGATTCCTGAGCAAATCTGCGAGTGATACCAGATGGCAGTGACACTGGACATTGAACTTAAGTGCTACAAGAAGCCCAGTGCTCCCAAATCAAAGCCAAGGTGAAGCCAGGAAAAGCGCCAGTTCAGACAATGTCCAGCAGTGGCTTCAGTTGCCAGCTCTCCCAGAACTCCTACTGGCACCCCTGTCAAGTGCTTCAGGTGCAGCCAGCAAGGACATCAAGCTGCTGAATGCTTGGCACCAGCTCCCCAAGTGAAGACCACCCCTACCACTATGACTAGTTTACCTTGACGACATTCTCATCTTTACAGAAACAATGGAGGAACATGTCAGATTGGCTTGTGAAGTGCTCAAAAATTATTAAAAGTAAACATTTACACCAAGCTATCTAAATGTGAGTTCCATCAAACATGCCTTGACTACCTAGGGTACCGAATTTCCAACAAAGGGGGGGAGATGGACTCAGAAAGTCAAAGCCATTCTTGAATGGCAACCTCCTCAGACTTGCAAGCAGCTTCAGATCTTTTGGGGGGTTGCTAACTTTTATCGGCAATTTATTCCCTCTTTCGCTAAAATAGCCCTACTGATTATTGAACTTTTGAAAATGGATAAAGGGGGGGGGGTAACCCATCCCAGTCAACCTTTAAAATGGACTATGGAATGCAAAGCAGCATTTGAACATCTCAAAAGGTTGTAAGTCGGAGAACCAGTCCTCAAATATCCTAACCCGAGGAGCAGTTCATTATCCAAGTGGACGCTAGCAACATTGCAGTGGGTGCAGTTCTTCTTCAGAAAAACACCAAGGAAGACCTGCAACTGTGCATTTACACCTCCAGGAAGCTGACACAGAGCAGTGATGGGCATTGGTCATTGCTGTGCATTGGGCATTTCTAACCTGGCACCATTTCCTAGAGGGGAGTAAGATACCATTTGAAGTGTGGACTGACCATAAGAACCTTGAGGCACTTAGAACTCCATGAATGTTATCCCCTAAGTAGGTTCTGTGGGCACAATATTTTAATGGTTTTAACTTCTCACTAAAGTACATTTCTGGAGGGAAGAACTTCCTAGCTCCATGCTGGTGAACCTATGGCATACGTGCCAGACTGGGCACGCAGAGCCCTTTCTCTTTTTTTTGAAATTTTTTATTGATTTTCCAATATTACATTTATATCTTTGAAAAGCAATGTGGTGACTGAGTTACTATAATTCAATTACATACAAATATCATTAGTACAAATCCCAAACTATTACAGTATTTCCTCTCTTTTCCCTTAATATGTACTCTCATATTTAAATTAATACACTTCTTATTCTATCAATCAAATAAAAAATAACTTTCTTACATTTACCAATAATTTCTAGTTTATATATATCTTCATCATTTTAACATTCAATTTTTGAGACAATCACTGTTCTAGTGAATTTTTCCCAATTTTAATTTTCCATTGATATTTAAAATTAACGTTTAATATTTATCATTTCCAAGTTTTAAAAGTTCCCAATTCCCTCTATCACAATTCCTTACAAAATCTAGTATTCAGGGTATATGTCTTATCTATTTAAATTCTCACCATCTATATCAACAAATTAATAATACAATAAAATATTCTTATTTTCTAATGGTTTCCAAATATCTTAAACATAGTAACCAAAATTTGTTTTATTTCAATTTCTTCTCTCTTCCTCTTTGTATCTACTATCTCATATTTAAAGCTAATATTTTTATTACATTCATCAATAAGTTTTTAGCTTATATATGTCTTAATCACCTTTATATGATCTTTATGGGCAAATCAATATTCAAATTTAACTATTGATATTTCTACTCTAAATTTTAAGTGACCAAAGTTTTCTTTATCTCCATTCATAATAATATCTTGTATTCAAAATACACTTTTTATCTATTTAGATATATTCTATTTTAATTCTCATAAATAAGTCAAAACCCCATTCTTCTTCAGTCTTATTCTAGCTTCCTTTCTTTGCCAAATCGTCTTCCATATCCATGCTTTTGAGCCTGCATCAAGACATATTTATTACATTCATCAATAAGTTTTTAGCTTATATATATATCTTAATCATTTTACATAATCTTTATGAGCAAATCAATATTCAGATTTAATAGTTAATATTTATACTTCTGAATTTTAAATGACCAAAGTTTTCTTTATCTCCATTCATAATAATATCTTGTATTCTAAATACGCATCTTATCTATTTGGGTATATTCTATTTTAATTCTTATAAGTACATCAAAACCCATTTTTCTTCAGTCTTATTCTAACTTTCTTTCTTTGCCAAATCATCTTCCATGCCCATGCTTTTGAATCATCAAACAAATCTCCTTGTATTGTTATATATATTATTTGCCATTGAAAAAACCATCTAGTCGCCATTTTTTTGAAAGGGCTGGCAAGTCTAGCAGGTCTAGCCAATCTAGCAGATTCTTTATTTTTCCATCTCGACGTAGTTGTCCTGAAGTGTTTATCTTCTCTTCCATCTGTTTTTCTTGATCTTCAGATTCTTTCTGATTTATATAGAAAGTCTTTTCCTTTTCCATGTTTCTTTTCTGGATTTTCCATTATCTGTGTTTGTTGGGTGGTTAAATCTTCTGTCATAATATTTAATTGTTCCACTTTTTCTGTTGCATTCTGTATAGTTGATTTTTTTAGTTGTAGTCAAAGTTTGAATTTTTATATCCAGGCTGCCATCTTTCTTGTTCTAAGTTGTCAGAGGTTGGGGAGAAGAGGGAAAGGAAAATGACAGCATTGCTAGACTAAACATAGAGTGGTTCCATGGGAACCAAGGCCATTCCCACAGAAACTGGAAGGTGGAGAAAAGAAGTTTCACAGAGCCCACCAATTGCTTTTATTGGGTAGCATCATCAATCACGTATCAGAGGGGAGGAAATTGTTACATTTAGTTACTGTTATATTGAATCCCTAAGTGGAATTTTAGAGTTGGTTTCACTTTTGACCATGCTGATATTATGTATCCATAAACATGTTCTTTGAGGAAACTTCAAGCCTTGGAGTTCATTAGTTGGAACCTTGAAAATGGGTTGATCATTTCTGTACATAACTATTAACATTGAACTATTATGTAATCTTTGGAACAGTTTATGGTAGATTAACACAGGGCTTCCAACTGGAACAGAAAAAGCTAATTGAATAGCACAAAAAACCCCCAAACAAGTGAAAAGAAAGCTTTTCACATTTATTTCCTTTTTTAAAAAGACAAAATAAATACACAATTCGAAATCTCCCAGAGGTCTGGCTTTTTCCTGCTGATAAGCTCCCTATATTATACTTGCCAAAGACCTTATTAAAAAGTCTTTATTAGCATTTTAATAACCTTCCTTGTCAATAATTCCCATTTCTCTGACTGAATGTAATCTTTGAAAGGCAAGAGTTTTCATTTATCATCTGTCCATTTCAATTACAGATTACATTAGTCAATCAAAAAAGCAAAGCATCTGTTCCTAGCTAAGTACAAGGTGCCCATTTCCTTGAAATGAATATTTAAAGTAATCTAATAGCTAAATTAAAATGTTTCATGTCCTTCTCACGCCAGATGTAATGACTGAGAAAATCAACACATCTCCATTTTATTTGGAAAAATCCAAGAGTACTTCCATTATGCAGATAAAGTCAGCAATTTTATCATTTAAACAAAGGTTAAGGATTCAACAAATTTATTCACTTGTTCATTCATTGACAGGGCTTCTAGGCCCCTCTAGTCAAACTACTCTGAGAGGTTTAGTTTCTCAAATCCTTACCTTAGCAGACACCTTCTGAATAGAGAGCTTGCCTGATACTATGTCTGGATATATACATGCATACTAAAATGCATGAAAAGCATTATCCAGATATGAAGTAATGTTAATAATACTCCAAATAGTATTCCAAATAATACATTCACATTATTTGGCCTTGCTTTCTCAGGGAAATATCAACATAGCACGTAATACATTCTTATATTTAAATAGAGCAGATTTTGAAGACTTAGTCAAAGACCATCCTAAAAACACATCAGGCAATTTTAACAGCTACTTTCAATATTACTCAATCAATCAATCAATAATTGATTCTTTCAATCTTTTTTCTACTTGCTACAATCAAGAAACAATCCCTATATAGGCCGGCTTCTTTAAAAGGCAATTTCTGATATAAAAATGATGTCTCCCTTCCTACTATAATGAATTGACCTCAAAGTAGGAGAAGGAAACAGGGAGACTACATCTCCAGACTAAAAATTTTAAGAACAAACTACATATTACATTGCAGCCATATTTTAACAAATCATTGCAACACTAATACCTGGGCTCTTTCAAAGTGCCCTTGGAAACTTTACAGAATAAGTAGTTCAAATTCCTCACAAACTAAGGAGAGTTTCAGGAAGTTTCATAACAAAATGTCATAGCACATTTTGCTCTTAAAGCATGGATAAGGGACCTATTGCCCTGCAGATAACTTTTAATTACAACTCCCACCTGATCAATCTGCTAGAAATTTTACTTCAAAATCTACAGGGCCATAAGTTTCCTAATACTGCTATAAAGCAGTTTTTGATCATTTTTACCTGGTCTCCAATGTTCTTGGAGAAGCTGATGGCATCCTAAAACAAATGGGTTATCTTAAGTCAGAGCAAGTATGGAACTGAACTAGATTGGTTGTTCTGATCAAAGAACTTCATGGAGATTCTGATGGGGAAGTGTACTTTTGTTGGGCCTATAAGATCTTTTAATGGTATTCAACACCATTAACCATGCCATCTTGCTTGATCATCCAGAAGCGAGCATTATGGCATGATAATTGCACTCCAACTAGAATAGGCAATGTTAATCTATAGTTATGGAAAGCTGGACCCCAAACTTGTTGTGGCTTCAGTGTGGAGTCCCATCAGGTTTGGAAACTTTGCATATTTTATTTAACACATATATGGGCTCTCTGGGAGAGATCATCCATTTGTTTGGAGAAAATGTCATCAGTATACTAATAATATTTAAGCATGCATTACCAGGATGAATTGGAAACACTGTGGAAAGCATGAATCAAGCTGAATTGAGCAAAAGCAACTCGAATATTATCCCTCCAAGTTGCTGTATATAATAAATATTCAGGAACATTTTCCCACTTTAGTCAGGGTCACTCAACAAACGTTGAAGATTAGAGGAATATGGTCTTTTCTGTTACGGCCCACACATTCTGGAACTCTCCACCCTTCCCACCCATGGTTTGAACAGGTCCTCCCTCCTAGCCTTTCAATGCAATTTTATTTTGCTAAGATTTAACATTTATTTGAATGTTTTGTGATGTCTAGTGTGGATATTTGTGTTCTCAATATTATTTGATGCTATTACCCTGTAATTAACTACCCAAAATTTCCAAATTAGTTGAACTACAGAAACTGTCAATAAAATTAAAACAATCCATGTATTTTTCATTTTTAGTGCTTGTTGCATCATTTCAGTACATATTTAGTTCAAAAAATAAATTTTGACTACAACATGCTAGAAATATTTGAAAAGTAATGTTCAAAATCACACATTCTGCATATTTGGCTACTATTGTAGTGTTTTTCAAACTTGGCAACTTGTAGATGTGTGAGCCAACTCCCAGAATTCCCCTCCCAGCATGGGAATTCTGGGAGTTGAAGTCCATACATCACCAAGTTGCCAAGGTTAAGAAACATTGGTTGCTATTGTAAATTGTTTTTGTTTATGGAGTATTGTTTCTATTTCTTCATTCTTCTTTCATTTACAGAAGCTTCCTTGGAAATTTCTTCAACAGCAACAATTATAAAAAATAGCAACCACCAACCTCTTTAGTGGGACATATGTGGAGTGGGCAAATTCTCTGGGGTTCCTCTTTGGAGGCTACTTGAAGATCAGAAGCCTGTTGCAGGTATGTTAATGCTGTTAGAATTTCATCTTCCAACATCACAAGGTCCTCGTTGGCAACAGGCCAATTTGCATTGGCTAAGGCTTCAAGCAAAGATTCTTTATGTTCCACATAGGATACTGGCTGATCCTGTTCAAATCTAGCAACAAAGGTTATGTCTTAATTGTGTGTTATTATTTATATATATTATGATACTAGCATTCCAAAATCAATTATATATATCAACTGTATCAAGTGTATCCTTTATTGAGAGAAGGGCAACTGTTGGGTAAAAGATTCCTATTGTTTCCATGCTCACCTTTTCTTGCATAACTCGGATCATTCTAGGGCTCTTCCATAGCTCCAATTGCTATGTTTCCTTTTCAACCCAAAATTGGGAATAAATCACCAGGGCATAAATAATGCTACCCCACAAAGTGCTGTCAGTATGCATTTGGAATGGGAGCAGAATAACAGAACAGAATTGGAAGGGACCTTGGAGGTCTTCTAGTCCAAAGCCTTGCTCAGGCAGGAAACCCTACCATTTCAGACAGTTGGTTGTCCAATCTCGTCTTTAAAAACTTTCAGTGCTGGAGCACAACTTCTGGAGGCAAGTCATTCCACTGATTAATTGTTCTGTCAGGAAATTTCTCCTTAGTTCTAGGTTGCTTTTCTCATTGATTGGTTTCCATCCATTACTTCTTGTCCACCTTCAGGTACTTTGGAGAATAGGTTGAACCCCTCTTCTGTGTGGCAACCCCTGAGCTACCATGTCACCCCTAGTCCCTGTTTTCACTAAACTAGACATACCCAATTCCAGCAGCCATTCTTAATATTTGTTGACCTGTTGACCTATCAACCACCAGGTGGCAATGAAATATATATATATATCGCTGATCATTCAAAAGAATAGAAATAAAAATGTCAAAGCCTATCTGCATCAGGTTACATGTATGATGGACCTGCCCTGAGAAGAAGAACTGATGAGCAGCCACTGAAGACAGCATTCCCTAATGAGTAATAGAAGCATATGAGCTAAGTTCTTTCAGGGCTATTCAACTTCACATTTCCAATTACATTAGCCTTTAAAAAGACAGAAAGGGAAATGACTAAGGATACTGAGGCTGTAGTCTTCTCACAGTCAAGACAGGACTGCACAGCAGGTGTCAGATTCAGGGACCAACAGAACAGACAGATCTTTCTGGACTTCTGGTTTGACATTGCAGTGTAACGGGCGCAGAAAGACAGAGCTCCGTCCTCCACGTTTGATTTCACCCCACTGGGGACCCTAAAAAGGGTCGAAAGTCACCCCAAAGAAGTGACAAAGAAAGAGGGGGCCCTTGTTGACTGCAGAGGGGTTGTGGCCCTTCCACTGGATCTGAGGAAGTCCTCCAAACCAGCACGGGAAAGACTGGCTACATTCATGTGGCCAGTCAAAAGCTGCTGACAACCGAAGACAAGCACTAACTATCAATTTCTGAGCAACGTGGATGGAATTGGGTGAGACTTTATCCTCTTTTTATGGCCCTACTACTACTTTCCTGGAAAAAAGAATGCCCAAAGCAAAGAATCCTCCCCAATGAGAGAGGAAAGGGAAGTTATTGCCCTGCTCTCTCAGGAAAGGAAAAGTGGCAAATTAATTGCTTTGGGGGAAAACAGGAAACTACACGATCAATTTGGAACTAATACAGATCTATAGCTTTCAAATTTGGGGACTAAAAGTACCTTTGAGACTTTTTAAAAAAATATTTGAAAGTTTGCAAAATAAGCATGGATTTGAAAAGCTGGAAGATGGTGTCAATGACATCTAGTGGAGAATTATGGCACTACAATTTATTATGCTTAAGGGAAACTTGGCTTGAAGCCCAGACTCAGATAAGACCCTTTGTTGTTCCTGGACACTTTCACTTTTGCAGACTGCAGCTGGGAAAAGGGATAAACAAAAACTCTTGGGCTGCTTATTTGGGTTGTGGACCCTATATTTCTTTCCATGTTGAAATCAATCCAATAGACAATTGTTTTATTTCAGGCTGAGACTAAAAATAATGCAAATGAGAAAAAAGAACAATTTTCTAACCTAAACTTATAAATTCAGACGACTGCAAAGAAGGAAGTAATAACTCAGAAAACAGAAAGAAAATTAGAAGAAACAGATCTAAAGATAGAGGACCTAAAGGAATTAATAGATAGATACAGACAAATGAAAAATTAGAAGATGCAGTGATAACACCGAAAATGGAAAAGACATTTGTCAAGATCTCAGAACACATTTGAGGATAAGGAAGAAGAGCTGATCAAATGGATGATAAAGCTGTTGGGAGAAATGCTGAATATTGTCAAACAAGAAAACTGAAGGAGAAGGATGGAGGCCGTTTAATGAATATAAATGGGTTGAGTGTTCTTCCAAAAATCCTTCAACCAAATTCTTTTCCTCATTTCAAATAATATGTACAAAAACAGAGGAAGAACTATTTGATGATTTAAATGTACTGACTTGGAAAGTTATCTGGCAAAGGAAGAAAGCTAGAGTAAGACTGAAGAAAATTGAGGTTATTATCTATTAGATGGGATATTATACTACTAAACAGATGTTTAAATATGGCTAAGAAAATAGATAACTGTTAGAAATAAAAGTATTATTATAATTAGAAGGATAGGATTTCTAACTAGAATATTATACTTTATTATCAGATGGGAAATATGAAAATTCTAAAAGGGTTTGAATGAGGGAAGCCCTTGGTTATCCAAATATAATTTATTATGAGAAAATTATAAGCAATAGAGCTACTTTGAACATTGATGGGAAATTCAAACTTTTAAAAAGTGGGAAAAAACAGGATATTGATTGAATAAATGGTGCAAATGCAAGTGCAAATGCAATTGAAATATATTTTGGCTAGAAAAGATGTTATAAATTTATACTATCGATATTATGCATAATACCAGAAAAATGTGATGAAGATGTCTACGTTGAATTGTATATGTATTAACAGTAACAAGAATTGTATTTGCCCAGTATGGAAAAATGCATACTACCGGAAGAAGAGAGGACCAAGGAAGCACTGGATGGTGTAGTATTGGACTAGACTGAGAAAGTTAATATGTACCACTGAATTACTAATAAACCCAGAGAACATGTTGCGTATTAAGTACTTATGATTGTAAAGTTAGAAAATTAATAAAATATTTATTAAAAAAAGAAGAAGATACAGATCTTCCTAAAGAAGTTCGGTCAAGCTGATTGTGGTGAAGAGGAAACACCACCTTCTTTGTAAGTAAGCAACACCTCCTGACTTTAAATGTCTGCAGACTCAGGGCTAGCAAAGCTAAAGACTACTCTATTGAAAGAGCAGGTGCATAAAGGTGGTGTGAAACAGCAGATAACAAAGGATAATAATAAAGTCTGTAGAGGAAGTAACTGTTGTACTGTACTGTCCTTATCAAGGTTGGTACCATTTTATTTTGAGAAAATATTTTTGAGTTCTTGGTTTGGACAGTGATACCTCAAAGAGTCTAAAGGCCACTAAAAACAACATGGACTTCTGAGGCCCCACTCTGGCCTCACTATTTACTTGTATTGACATGTATAGGCAAGTTCCCAAGGATTAGGGGCTTGTGATCATTGTCCCTATATAAAAAAAGAAAGGATGATCCTGCTAATTATAAACCAATCAACTTCCTTAAGGCAATCAGCACATTCTGTGGAAGACACCTGTAATGGAAATTTCCAGGCTGGCTGAAACAAGAAAACATAATTGTAGAGGAGCAAGCTGGGCTTTAGGGAAGGCTGATCCACCATTGATTAATGCCTAGTATTCCATCAGCTCATTGAAAAATGTTTTTCCTGCAACACAACCTCCCTTTATATCACTTTCATAAACTTCAAAGCATTTAATTCCATATCCTCAGCTAAATTGTGGAAAACACTGGAGGCTACATTAACTGACTAACATCTACTTTGTTTAAAATGAAGTGAAGGGATCTCACTTAAAAATTAAATAAGGTATAACCATCCTGGGCCATTTCACCAGTGCCACTGAAACTGAGAAAGGCATCAAGCATGGCTGCATACTGGCCACTCTGTCAAATTCTATATTAACTCCATGATGGACCATCTTCATAACCAAACATTCACTCCCCAAATCTTGCTGCATCTCTATACCATGCAGCTTATGCAGCAACAAAAATCTTAAAAAGAACATGGAAAACAGAAACACAGTACTACAAAGAAGACCAGCTAGAACTCAATCATTAAGAAAACTAAAGTCATGGCATTTAAGGCCCAAGACCACTCCTAGAACAGAGCTGACTTTGAGATTAAAAAGATCTGAAGGGTATTGTTGATCCGGAATTAGGAGATAGTATGTTGTTGTTGTTAATTGCGAAGTCGTGTCCGACCCGTCGCAACCCCATGGACAATGTTCCTCCAGGTCTTCCTGTCCTCTACCATCTTCTGGAGTCCATTTAAATTCACACCTACTGCTTCAGTGACTCCATCCAGCCATCTCATTCTCTGTCGTCCCCTTCTTGTATTGCCCTCAATCTTTCCCAGCATTAGGCTCTTCTCCAGTGAATCCTGCCTTCTCATTAGGTGGCCAAAGTACTTGAGTTTCAACTTCAGGATCTGGCCTTCTAAAGAGCAGTCGGGGTTGATCTCTTCTAGGACTGACCGGTTTGAACGCCTTGCAGTCCAAGGCGTCTTCTCCAGCACCATAGTTCAAAGGCCTCAATTCTTTGCGCTCAGCCTTTCTTATGGTCCAACTTTCACAGCCATACATTGCAACTGGGAAAACCATGGCCTGGACTATACGCACTTTTGTTGGCAGGGTGATGTCTCTGCTTTTTAGAATGCTGTCTAGATTTGCCATAGCTTTCCTCCCCAGGAGCAAGCGTCTTTTAATTTCTTGGCTGCAGTCCCCATCTGAGGTGATCTTTGAGCCCAGAAAAATAAAATCTGTCACTACCTCCATTTCTTCCCCATCTATTTGCCAGGAATTGAGAGGGCCGGATGCCATGATTTTGGTTTTCTTAATGTTGAGTTTCAAGCCTACTTTTGCACTCTCCTTCTTCACCCGCATCAAGAGGCTCTTTAGTTCCTCTTCACTTTCTGCCATTAGAGTGGTATCATCTGCATATCTTAGGTTGTTGATATAGTATAGTATAGGAAGTATCAATTGTGAATATGTGCAGATGGCCTGCTGTCTTTGGGCACTTGCAGAATCCTGGATGCTGGATCATGAAAGGACAGCAAGGAAACAACCAATGTCCTAACCCACCCAAGAACATACGATATCTTTAGGGAAACACCCAAAAGGGAACATGTTTAGCTACTTCTGCTTTCTCCCTTCTTATCTACAGTATGCCAGACTTACTGGGTGAAATCTTTATCTTACGTGTGTCAGCTTTGCTAGATGGATTGCTTAGGTAATCAGAAAGAATAAATACATTGTCATTCTCTCATTTAGAGGAGTCTGTCTTTGTTCAGCTGAATAAAAACGTAAAAGCTTAAAGGTAACTTCTGGTTTCCTGTATTTTTTTATCAAGCAAAACCTCAGAACCTGTGTATCAGTATCAAAATGCATTTTCTTGCTTTGTCCTACATAGAAATCTGTTGATTCACTGCAAATAGTCATATAGAACTACTGCAACTAGCAACTAGAATTAGGTTCCATTTGATCCCAATGCTACCATTGGGTAGTTTCAGTATGAGTGACAAGCTCCTGCTTTTTACTTTACATTATAATTAATGGCACGTAGTCTCATATTTAATAAAATAAACTTAGCAAAAAATAAAAAAACTTAAATTAACCATATTATGTTTTCAAGGCAGGTTGAATGCACTTCTGTTGAGGTCAGTTAGAAAAAAAGCTTTTCAGAAGCATCAAATATGGTTTCCATGCATGAAAACAACAAAAATTCATAAGGCACCAGGGACAGAATTTCCATATAATTTTCATTCCCCAATTCAGTATGAATGTGGGAAGTATTGAAGATATACAAAAGTTCTTTATATCAATAGTGTGTTCTAAATAAGGTAACAGCAACATTCACCCCATTAATCCTTTTAACATATTAACATCTGATAAAGGAAACAGAATGTGGCATCTTACTTCTCTTTTTCCTTCTGCGGTAATGCTTTCCAAACAATTTGGTCAAGGCGTCTATAAAGGTAAATGAGACAATCTTTCAGAGTGCAACCCACTTGTTTAAAGGCAATGAACAATCTAAAAGAATGAGCTTATGAATCTCAGTAAGCATAGAAGCGGGTCCTCTTTATGCCTGGCAATGGCTTTCTATTGACTAAGGTCTTCCATCAGCCAACTGTTTAACAAGAGATGTCAAGGATTACCCTTGTAGCTTTCTGAATCTTAGGTCTGCCCTAGACAAATCTACCTCAAGAAAATTCACATTTGATATGGATTGTGATCTTCAAAAGCTCACAGGAAAATAAAAACGTTGGTCTTTTGGAAAATCACAAAACTCTCTTGGTTTTGCTAAACAGCTCACAAAGCTGCCTCTCTCAAAAATATTTTGCTAAAATAAAACCCCCACTTGATTCATTGCAGTACAACAGAGCCACAACAAACATTCATCTAATATCAAAATATCTCAGAAAAGAAGAAGGTATATGTAGGTACTTCCTCTTGCTAGGTGTGGGAATCATTCTCATCAATCAGTATTTACAAAAAGAAAAAGAAAAACCCAGCATCCACTCAAAAATTTCTGTTCAGTGTAGCACATTAACATAAACTATTCTTCAATAATCATCATTCACCCATAAAAGCCCATCAATAGGTGATCTTGAGTTCTCACACCAGAAAAATATCCAGTTGGTTAAATCCTATAATCAGACTTGCCTTTCATACGTTGTTATTGCTTCTTGCACCTTCTTTCTGTAGGCATCAAGATCTACTGCTTGAGGGTTAAGCAGGGTGACACATTTCTTATCACTGCTCACATGGGCGAAAGGGAATATCTGTAGCATAATACAACAAAACATTTATTCCTATATCTACAGACCCTGGAATCTAATTTCCCAACTTTCCCACGTAATCTAACATTTATTAAACTCTAATGGTATTACACGCTCCCCTTTAACAAAATTCCTAGTACAGTTTAAAATGACCTTAAAAGCTTGACAACAGCTAAAAGTAATTTATATTAATAACTAATAAAACTGACTTCAAACACCATAAAGGAAAAGATCCACTTTATTTAACCCCCCCCCAAAAAAAATATGGCAATACATTTGCTTAGTATTCATGTAGCAACTGATGTAAGCAGCATCATTGGAGTAACAATAAGATATAAATTATTATCTCAAATTATGGAGCAAAAAAAAAAAGAATGTTATAGAATTGTTGCAAATCTCATAAAAGCCTTTACTAGTTTTATTGTTTAGCTTAGATAGTGTGTGGTTGCTATTATTGCTATTTAAAGCTCTCAGAGATCATTACACATTTAATGAACCATTTTCTAGCTAGCTTATTATGTGCAAAAGAGGAAAGCTATTTGTGGCCATCATTTTTAACTTTCAGTGCTGTACAGTGTCACCCTGATAATGCAGGCACAACCGTCTCCCTGTTGCATGTCTTCTGAAACACAACTTCACCAATTACCTTCTTACTCCATTGGGTGCAGTGGCTAAAATGTAGTATTTTAAGCTAATTCTGCTGACTGCCACCAGTTCGATCCTGACCAGCTCAAGGTTGACTTAGTCTTCCATCCTTCTGAGTTTGGTAAAATGAGGACCCAGATTGTTGGGAGCAATATGCTTACTCTGTAAACTGCTTAGAGAGTGCTGTAAAGCACTATGAAGCGTTATATTAAGTGCTATTGCCATTGCTACTCTTGTCAACCAGCCACTATATTACCATCTTCTTAGGATGGCATACCATTAATCTGGAGAAACCAAAAGGGTGGTCCCAAATATAATAGCCTCACAACATAGGAAACATATGTAAGAAAATATTCCTAGATTCTGCTAGGTGTTCTATCTTCTACCACAATTAAAATGAAAGAATAGGCAGCACAGATCTGATAACAGTCTGTGACTAGAATAATACAGAATGTAATGTTTTAAAAGCAGCAAAAAAAATCACAAAGAAAGACTTACATCATCAAATACTTTGGAAACGACATGTTTATCTAAAATTGGAACGTAAGTAGTTGTACGAGAAACTGCTGTTGGGGCTAAGGCATCCATTATGGTAAGTCTTTTAGCAATCAAACCGTGAATCTTTAGCCATTGAGCTGAAGGGATATCCAAAGAGCTTTTTAAAAGAAAAAATGAGAGAAACACATCATGACCAATCCAATAGTGACAGTTTATTCTCAAAAGAAGGAACATATTCTTTTTGTTGCCTATATACTTACTCATCATTTATCTTTTGTTCAGGTTTTGGGCTCTTCTGTTCTGCAGGAGAAATTTTAAAAATTGTTTTATAGTGTCAGTGTTGTTTACTTGGATAATCAAAAATTCAAGTTCAGCAGAATAAAATCTGGACTAGGATATTAAATAGAAAAGGACTGAAAGCAAGTTTAATAGGTAAGAAAACTGCAGTGTATGAAAGATGGAATACTACTTAGGCAGCCACACCAACAATGTTCAGGGGTACAAACTAGGAGAAACCCAGATGCATTTATAGCAGGTCAGACCAAAGGAAGTAAGTCAACTACAGTACTGGAGTATGCAGAGGTATTACACAATAAGACTACATTAAAAGAGAATAAATATAATATAGGTTTAGAACATGACATTTTCTTGGATTAAAACAGATTCAGATATTCATTCATGGGTGCTCTTGATCAGTCATCTCTCATCTTAAATCTCTCACAGCAATGTTTCTAGCATAAAATGAATGGAAATGAACATGTTCCATTCCCATAACTCAATGGAAAAAATATTAGATAAAAATGCAGTCTATTAAAAAAAAATCCATTCAGTGATAAGCACCAAGTGCTATTTGCTATGCAGTTAAGTTAGCCAGCCTCTGTGAACGCTGCCCCCAAATCAGGGGAAAATGAGCACAAGAGAGATACAATATGCATGAAAGGTAACTGTTAAAGTTGTTGATGCAGAATGGTAGATAGATAGATGGGAAAGCTCACCTGGAAAACTTACCTTTTCTTTCAGCTGACGTTTTTCCATCTTGACTTTGTTCAGAAGGCTTGGCTGTGTAGCGCTGAGTTCTAAGCATGCTACTCTTTGTTGGCTCTACAAAAGACATTCACACATATGCATAAATAAGGAAAGAAGTCTCACAATGACCAGTAATATATTTTAGGCAAGAATGTTTTCCCAATCACATGTTTTTTTATCAATTCTTCTGTACTTTTCAACTTTTAGCTATTGGTGGATATTAAAATTCAGTAAAGGACCCAGTTAACTTAGAAAATTAATGACTGTGGGAATGAAGTAGCTCTCAACAGTTCCTCAATTTGTACTTTAAATTACAAGTTAAGAGATAATTCCTCTTTTTTTAACCAAGGACAATAGATCTTAAGACACAAACCCTAAGATGCTTCTAAATAGATGACTCTTACCATTATCACCTAAAGAACACTACAATATGTGACCATTCAATTTTTTTCTTTCTTAAGAGGTTGCAGGGAGAGTTGTGTGTGTGCACAAGAAATGTATAAAGAACATCAGAAAAAGCCATAAAAAATAATTACAAGTGGGACTCTTCCCATCTGCAAACACTCTCTCTACACTCCAAGCTTTATCTCATACTATGAAGTAAGAAAGAGGTATCTAAAACTACTTGACCACAAGTACCTCTGGTATTATTATTAAATCACATACACAATGGTCACTTTTCAGATCCTTGATTGCATACATCTGGGAACCATAAGGACTGTTACAGTGAGCATCAATGTGAAACATATGATGTAGAAGAAAATCTATACTCAAAAGACGAGACATATTTTAACTGAATAATCCCTGTAATTTCCTTTACCTGCATATAAAACTTTCTTCTTTGCGGTTGGACTCTCAGAAAATGCCATATCGAGTTCTGATGAAGCTGATGCAGTCTCTTCAAAGGCAGAATAGGGCCTAACTTGAGATGAGGGGTTCAGTCCCTCAACTTCTATGGTTACTGGGATTGTAGCAAAAGTCTGCCTGGGTTGTCTGTTTAAGAAACAGACAAGTCACTACCTAGGCCATAGCTCACGCATTACATATATTTGGGTGAAAGTACTCTGAGAAAGGTGAACTGCAATCAAACTAATCCACATATCAAGATTTTGTTGAATACAACAAAGAAGCAACTATATTGCTTCTTTCATAGCACAGAATAGCGGGATCACTTAGTCTCTTCTGCTGCTGTTATGTATATAAAAAGGGTTAAAGTGGAACAACTGAAAACTCCTCCTGTTGGGACTGTCCATGCTATTTATTTCCAATATTGTCTTCAGTAGCTCTGTAAAGTTCTATGCCTTCTGAAATAGATAGATATAGAAATATTGCTAATATCAATTGCTGGTATTAAGTCCTCTCTGCCTTTTGTACTTCTTGCCTGTTGTTCATGTCTCCCTCACCCAGTTTTGTCTGCCTTTTGTCCCATTTGGACAGTTAACTATTTTGATATTTGCTGATGTTTAATAAATAAGCTTCAACCTATATTTTTGCTAGCTGAATTTATGTGCATGCTCTGATTGGGTTATAGGATTAATGGGAAGTATGCTGGGGGTAAATGGAAATTTGGAAATTGCCCAAAGTCATTTTCCAACCAAAAGCTATGGACCATAACTAAACACTGAGCACCGAGATGATTCCAGTTATGTAAAAATAATTTTCCCAATTTATTTCAGGCACTTGGTCAAATATATGGTTGAAATAACATATAGAGCCACAAATTATGGATACTCAATGAGAGTTAGAATGTCCTAATTAAGACACATTTTTACCTCTTATAAAACATTTTTTAAAATTATTACACTGGAACCAGAAAATTTCATACAGATAGGAAGGAGTACAACATCTGGAAAACAAAGATAAAGGCACTGGTTGAAAAGTAGAACTTTTCTGGCATTTTAGAGATGTCATGTCCAGAAAAAGCCCAAACCAGGGTAACTTAGAGGAAAGACGATATACATACTAAAGTTTAAAATAATTCTGAAATTGAGCATGACATATAATAGATCCAACACTGTACTTCAGGAAAGAAAATATAGGACAAGTTAAGACAAATGTAGGGACACTATAAAATGAACAATAATACTTTAATATTAAAAATATATAAATCTGGAACTATTAAGGATAGGAAGTTTACTAGATATTAGTACCATTCTATTTAAAAGATACTAAAGTGAAACAGCATGAATTTTTCTGATGATTTAATCAACAAATTCTTATTAAGATAATCAGAAAATTGTAATATATGGAATATATGTGTCCAATATATCCAATGTATCATATTTTGCATGTTAATATATTGTAGATTAATCAGATTTCATGATAAAGTTTCCCTTTAGAATGTTTGCCAATGCTTTGAGTGACATACCTGAAGACATTTCTCTAAACAAAATAAAAAAGGAAATGTATTCATACATTATTGTAATGTAATGAACATATTAAAGGGATAGGGACTTTAAAGAACTAAAATTCACATAATGGAAAGAGATAGTAAAATCAAATACCTAAAAGAAATATTGAACCTGCATAGGGACTGTAAAAAAAAATAGCTATAGATGAAGAATATATATTAGCATTGTATACTTGAAATTGAACATGATTATAGTTTGAAAAGAAAAACTGATTTTTGCATGAGAACAATGCATACTCAATATACCTTCAACACAGGTATGTTTAAAAGTCTTGATTAATGTCACCAAGAAAAAGTTAATTTTGCTAATAGAATTTTGGTAAATGTGGAAAAAGCAGTAGTAAACTGAAATAATAATAAATAATATAATAAATTATGACAGCAGGTATATAATATTCCAAAAAGCACATGCATACCTGAATTGAATGCAGATTACATAAGTCTTATGTTACGCAGTGTAAATGTGAGGTTGTTCTTAAAAAAGCACATGTTATAAAGAAAATACAATGAAACTAATTTGCTGAAATTTATGCAATCTAGAGCAGGGGTGTCAAACTCAATTTCATTGAGGGCCACATCAGGATTGCGGTTGCCCTTGGGGGGCTGGGTGGGTGTGGCCAGGGTGGGTGCAGCCTACTGGGTGGGCGTGGATGGAGTGGGTGTGGCCTATTGGGTGGGCATGGCCAGCTCTACATCATTTGCGTCAAGGGTGCCTGTGGGGGCCTGGGCAGGAATGGGACAAATCTGAGGGTCTCTGGAAGAAGTGGGTGGGACCAGGGCAAATGCCAAGGCATGGTCCACTAGAGGAGCCTCACTGTTCCTCTCAGGCCATGCGGGGGTGGGCCAGATGGTGGTGCCAGCTGCCGGGAGCCGTGGACAGCAGAGGTGAAATGCCCAGCCTGGCCCTTGAGCACCCACGGCACCAAGCCCAGCCCCACTTTCCCAAGGGGACACCCAGCTGCACTTACCTCCTCCTCAAGGCTGCTGCTGCTGTGCTTGCTCTCCTTACCCAGGTTGTTCATGATGGGTATGAAGGCAAAGTCAGAGGGAGGCCCATTCCCTCTCCATGGGAGGAGACTCAGCTTTGTATTCAAAGCTTCCTTAGCAATAGGATGGGAGACCCCCAGGATAGGCCAGGAGGAGGGGGCAAGGGGATGGTAAAAGGGCAGCAGGGCAGGACTAAGGCAGGACTTCCCTCAGACCCTCCCTCTCCATCTTTCCTTTCTTCCTTCCTAAGTACAGAGTGGTGGGAAAATATTTGAGATGAGGGAGGGAGAAAAACACAACTGGGGAGGTGTCACCCTTCGTGAGGAATGAAGAAATGCACCATCACCTGGAAGTGGCCAGCACATGGCTCTCACCTACTTCACATATCTGGCTTGATGAGCTCTGAGGGATGGGATGCCATGAGCAGCATGAGAGTCAACATTACCTGCGCAATGCTGCCCAGCCCCTGCCTGCCTGGTTTCAGCAGGCAGTGGGGCGTTTTCCTCATAGCGCCAAGAGGCTGAACCAGGCGTCGCAAATCCAAAAAGAAGCATGATGCTGCCCAGCTCCCAGCCTGCCCAGTTTTGGCAGGCAGTGGGGCACTCTCCTCACAACGCTGAAAGGTTGAGCTGGGTAGTGCAAAGCTCGCCAGATTTGCACCTTGCTGCTTGCTGAAACTGGGCAGGCTGGGGGCTAGGCAGCATTGCACTTCTCATCAGATTCGCGCCACTCGGCTCAGCTCTTGGCGCTGTGAGGAGAGCGCCCTGCTGCCTGCTGAAACCAGGCAGGCTGGGAGCTGGGTAGCATTGCGTTTCTTTTTGGATTTGCACCACCCAACTCAGCCTCTCGGCACTGTGAGGAGAGCATCCCACTGCCTGCCAAAACCCCTCCCCCAGATCCCATCAAGCCGGATATGTGAAGAAGGCGAGGGCCATTTGCTGGCCACTTACAGGCGATAGTGCATTTCTTCATTCCTCACAAAGGGTAACACCTCCCCAGCATCCACCCAAGGGATGGGGCCGACGTGGCAGGCTGGTTCCTTGCTGTTTTCAGATGGCCTTGTGGAGTAAGACTGAATGTGTTTCAGCATAGATGGCCACCACAAAATTGTACATTGGCTCCCGGCCGACCTGGGCCAGAGCCAAGGCAGCAGGAGCTGTTCTCTCATTGTTTCCAGGATGGCTTCACGGGCCACATGAAACCACTTAGCAGGCCACATCCGGCCCCCAGCCTTGTGCTTGACATGTCTGATCTAGAGCAACCAGAGGAGTAGCAGGATGCATGCATAATATACCTGAGCACAATAGGATTGCAGAAAGAAAGAATCAAAGTCCGCTAACCATGATAAGATGCCTTTTGTTGGTTATTCAATGATTTCCAGGGTGAAGTACTTAACACAGCTACTTATCTGCATCCAAAAAGTGCAGAGAAACCCAGTTTGAGTTATAGAAGGAGAGGGGGACAAATCAAATGTGTCACACCCAAAGATATTTGGATGTAAAGCTTATGCATAGATCCTTAGGAATAAATTATAAAAGCCAATTAGAAATAATGCTGGGATATCAAAGGCTATAGGACTTTAGACTTTTAAAACTGGAAAAATTAAAACTGGAAAGGTAAATCCGGGCATTATTATTTATTTTAATGAAGGATAATCCCAGATTAAGTACAATATCTATATATAATATCTAGACAGACACACCAACCTGATTTTACCAATAGCATCTGAGTCAATCCAGAAAGTGCACAAGGGAAAACAGCTAAAAATAACATCGCACATTCAGAAGCGGTTACTGAAAATAAGTCAGAAGACTCTGAAATGGTATCCGATTCAGAAGGGGCTATTGACAAACAGTCTGAAACAGACTCAGTATTAGAATTAAGGAGTTCTCACTGATTTAATAAAGGAATCCCACTTGAGAGAATGTGCTGCACAGATAGAGTAAGGGATGTGTCTGATGCACATTTATGGGGGGGAAAATACAGGAACTATCAGCACTTAAATCATTTCTTCCCATAAGAAATGGGAATCTTTGCACAAAAACATGGATTCTAACAAAACTAAAAAAGAGCAAGAAAGACATAGACTGGAAGGGGGGATCAAAATCAGCTATGCCACTAGTGGAAATGTTTAATACTATAATGTTAAGTTACTAGCAAAGGCCTAAACGTATAAATATGGGGAAAAAGTATGATGAGGTTTTTGCACCAGTAGTTAAACTTGTAAGCCTCAGAATTCTATTTAGAGTAATCACTTTATAAAACAGCATGTGGAGCACTTAGATATTAATAGAGTATTTCTACATGAGTCAACCAAGTTTTGAAGATCTAGGGAAAGAATAACTGGTTTGTGAACTGAAAACTCAACACATAGACTAAAGGAAGCAGCCACCAAACTAAATATCCCATGCCTGGGCTTTGAACTGAAAAAAGCTAATCCATGTTTATATTCAAGAGGTAAAAATACAGGACATGTATACATTATGTTGAGAATCCAGCTGTATATGCAGAGGAGAAAAAAGACAGCTTGGAGATAGCAAACAATTTAAATAAAGTGGAAATAAAACATCACTCTCTTAGAATTGAAATAAAAAAGATCACAGTAAGCTTACTTTATTGTTTAAAAAAAGATAGTAGTCCCAAAGAAGTGTCTAGGTCACAGTGAGACCAATGAGTCAAATACATCCATGATTGCTTGATAAATAGACAGAGAAGGAAACCAAAGCAGGTTGCCAAATAATGAGCAGGATAGGACAGCTGAGGGAAAATTACCAGACATCACAAGTGTGAGTTGGCTGGAGAATTCAAAGAGTTGAAGACCACACACGTTAAAGTTGCCAACTTGGAAAAATACTGAGCGCAAAACAGGCGGAAAGCCTATGTTGCTTTCAGAGGAACAGAAAGAACTCAGAAGAGTGAAACTGACAAGCCTATAGAGGTACATTTATTCTATGTCAGACTGTCTTACAATGTCGGCAGTCCTCAACTTACAGCAACAATAGAGCCCAAAATTTCTGTTGCTAAGTGAGACAGTTGTTAAATGACTTTTGCCCCATTTTATGACCTTTCTTGCCACAGTTGTTAAGTGAATCACTGCAGTTAAATTAGTAACACAGTTATTAAGTGAACCTGGCTTCTCCATTGACTTTGCTTGTTAGAAGGTCACAAAAGGGGATCGCACAACCTTGGGACACTGCAACTGTCATAAATATGAGTCAGTTGCCAAGCATCCGAATTATGGTCACATGACTATGGGGATGCTGCAGCATCATAAATGCGAAAAATGGTCAGAAGTCACTTTCTTCAGTGCCATTGTAACTTTGGTCACTAAATGAAATTGCAAGTTGTGGACTACCTGTAAATATGCCTTGAGGTTTTCCAAAGGAGTATTATACTTTCCAGTTCATTATTGTGAAGGGATTTTATTAGGCTTAAAGTTGATATTAATAATATTGATAAAGCTTCTTGCACATAAACAAATATATATAGGTGTAGGTGCTTTATATTGGGAAATTAGTTATATAGAAGCAAATGTTTCAAGCTTTAGGTACAGGTGATTGCTTACATGAAAAGAGCATGGTAAGGGGAGGGGGGAAAGGACCTACAGATGGAGCCTGGGTTGCTGTGTATGACTAATAATAATAATAATAATAACAACAACAACAACAACAACATTGCAAAATACATCAAGAAACTGCAGCTTCCTGCAATAACTCCAGCAATGTTACAAAAAACTGTGCTACTCGGAACATCTTATATTTTAAGGAGATACGTGGTTGACACCTAGGATGCTGGTAGCAACCCGTGTCAACCATCTGCGCCAGCCAATTTGAATGTTCAGTTGACTGTGGTTCATGTTTAAATAATAATAATAATAATAATAATAAAGTTGGAAGGGACTTTGGAGATCATCTAGTCTAACCCCCTGCTCAGGCAGGAAACCCTATACCATTTCGGACAAATGGCTGTATACTCTCTTATTAAAAACTTCCAGTGTTGGAGCATTCACCGCTTCTGGAGGCAGGTTGTTCCACTGGTTAATTGTTCTAACTGTCAGGAAATTTCTCCTTAGTTCTAGGGTGTTTCTCTCCTTGGTTAGTTTCCATCCATTACTTCTTGTCCTGCCTTCAGGCGCCTTAGAGAATAGCTTGACTCCTTCTTCTTTGTGGCAGCCCCTGAGATATTGGAACACTGCTATCATGTCCCCCCTCGTCCTTTTCTTCGTTAAACTAGATATACCCAATTCCAGCAACAGTTCCTTATATGTTTTAGCCTCCAGTCCCCTGATCATCTTTGTTGCTCTTCTCTGTACTTTTTCTAGAGTTTCAATATCTTTTTTACATTGTGATGAGCAAAACTGGATGCAGTATTCCAAGTGTGGCCTTACCAAGGCATTGTAAAGTGGTATTATCACTTTATTATCATCATCTTGGCATGTATCATTCCTGATACAAAGACCTGATCTCTTTGTTCTGGAAAAGGTATAAAAGGTGGAAGACATCTTTCCTGCTTGTTGCTTTCATCTCTCTACCAGCCATGAAGAGAGATGGGGTCACCCAACTCTATTTTGATCAAAATAAAAGTTGTTTGCTGGCTGAAACCTTGGCTCAGGAGTTTCTTTGACTCTTTTAAATTCCTGAGTAATGCCGGGACAGTTGTGAGGCTAAGTGGAAAACCTTACAATTGTTTTGAGCAATAAAAACATTGGCTTTTTCTAGTTGGTTGTTTCTTCTCATAGAATGCTTGATTTTATTAACATCAATGATTTTTTTCCTTACCTTTTCAGAATACAAATCACTGTGACAAAAATTGTCCTATGCATAAGAGCTGAAAAATGAAGAAACAAAGAAGAAGCACATACTTATCGTGAAGATCTTTTGCTCCATTAAACAAATCCATCAAATCGCTGCCAGTGTAAAGGGATTGTACTTTGTTCAGTTGTTTTTTTCCTCGTTCTATCTCTCTTCTAACCAAATATATATCCTCACTCTGTCAGAAAGTAAGCCATTTGTTACAACTGTTGATCAGCACAAACACCACAGAACATCTTTTTTTTAAAGCAAATAATTACAAGGCATTATCTACAGTATACAATTTATAGTACAACTGCTTTAAATATTAAGCAGGCTTTGGAGTAATATTTTATTGCTTCCCCTATTCTTTCTGAGCATTGATTTCCCAAGAAGAATTTTCTATAGTGTTTCTTAAAGTATGGTCCTTGGTCCTTGGGGGTCTGTCAGGGGTCCACAATATCAAAATTATTTGCCAGACATTGAAGATATTTGCACAAATTTAAAATAATGTCCCTCTTATTTTTATTTGTTCAAAAATATGGGTTTTTGAATGCAAAATATTTTAGTTAATATCTAGTGGGTTTATTATTCAATAAATATTTGATGAATGCATAAATTTTAATTTTTAATTCAGTAAATATTGATAAATATATCCCATAGAAATATAAATTGTTTTAGAGTCCCCCATAATTTTTAAATGTGAGAAAGGATCCTGACAGCAAAAAGCTTAAACCTTAGTAGTTCTTAGCCTTTTCCCCCTCTCTTAACTAAAAGAATGTAATTCCAATAGAAAAGAATTTATATAGCTTGGGGTTGAACTATGGACTCCCTCTTAGCTTCATTGATTTCTTGCAAACATTTCATTACCTCACCAACTAACACCTGACTAGTGCTGATGACGTTACCTAGTCAGATAATAAAATGTCTACAAACAAATAACCAAATTGAAGGAGCACAAAGTATGTAATATTATTAGCCAGAGATTTTTATGTTATCTTCACAATAGCCCATGAGCTACTAATTAGTTCTGTAGGCACCATATAGCCCAAAAACATGCAAATGATGTCTGGCTTACTATAATGGGATTAGTCCCTAAAATAAATAACCTTATTTTAATTATCACCATATTACTGTTTGTTTTGATATCAACATTTTCCACATGTTAATTAAGCAACCCTCCTGGCTTTCATCAATCCCCAACACATCAAACTTCAGGGCAAACCAAAAATTTAGTGTAACTTTTTTCCCACTATTTTGCCATACATAGAGCAGCAATTTCCTCAAGTGTCCCAGAGACTATATTCAGGGGAGAAAATACAATAATTTGAGCCAGAAACTAAAATGGTATCAAAATGAAGATGTACAACTCACTTAAATATTATTTTATTGAACTGATCTAGTGTTGAACCAGTTAATAAATCTCGATTCTTAATATTGGTTTGTTGCAATCTTTTTGCTTGTTTTTTTTTTTAAACTATCCAATAGCCAAAATTCTCTGGGTGTTATTAAAATGCTAACTCTTTTGATTTTTGTTCTCTTCTTTCCTCTTTATAACTACATTTTTCTGTATTTTACTTATACTTTTGAGCATCTTTCCCCAAGTATAGTTTTCATTTGTTTAAGAAATTCGTATGACATTTATCTTCATTAAAGCTATTCTTCTGGTCATCCAACTATGGTGAAGAATAATGGGAGTTATAGTTTGTAGTAACTCTGGGATACAGCTGAAGTACCTATTATTGTTATTTTTTATGCAGTCTCCTGCAAGTTGAATTTAACTCCTAGTCATTTCAGAACCTATCCATATAGTTTATTTGGAAAAAATATAGATGATGAGGAGGAGTGAACGTCTCGGCTGCACGACGTATTTCTTGGGGGCTCCCTAAGAATCTTCGCTTTCCAGCTGTTTGGGGAGATCTGCCTAGTCTTAGACAGACCAGAGCTGTCCTGTAGGGTCAGTGAAGAAGGGAAGGATAGTTTGACAGCACAGGAGAGTTCACAGTCTCCTGAAGAGCTGAACGGAAGCTTCCCAGACCAGCAGCTGTCAGACAGCCATTGCGAGCTGTCACAAGCCCGGCGTTTGCTTCCAAGAATCAGAAAGAAAATTGGAGAATCGCCTGGGTGAGCTGATCAAGAGATTGTTAAAAGGAGGAAAACTTTCTCTCTTAAATGCTGGAAATGCTGAGGGGTGGAATTAGAAGAATTTGAAGCCGTGGAGAAAAGGGGGGGGGGAGCAGACCCTTAAGCTGCTCTGTTCCTCCTCTGGAATTTCAGCAGCGAAAAAGCGGAAGGCAATAAATCAATATATCAATGTAAAGACTGTGGAATTTAAAAACAATTGGACTAATAGAACTATTTGAGAGTAAACAACTGTAAAAGTAAACTGTTTGCTTTTTTCCTTTAAGTGGGTTGCTTCTTTTTCTTCAGCTTCCTTCTTCTAAAGCAGAAGACTAAGTGACCCTGAACAACATCTGCTGGGCTCACTGATAAGAAGTGAGACATTAATTGCATTTAACACAAAAACTGTTTCTTGTTTTGGAGACTGGTGGATTGCCTTATGGAGGTTTTATTTTCGATCTCCTTCTTTTTTTCGGATTAAGGCATGAAGAGCCTGAAATAAAGAAGTGTAAATTGTACTTTTTCCTGCCCTTGGACGTTTGAGGTGGGATTTTTCTCCTATTTTTGTTTCTTTCCTCCTCTTCTTGGAACATTTGGGGATTATAATAGCACACTGACATTTGGATTATAAATCATTGGATAAGATGAAGAAGATCACAACACATCTAACAACAGCCCCCCTCAACACTACAGAGTCCGGTGGTGCAGAAAACACTGGACTCTACAATACAACAAGATAAATTTAATATGGAACTGAAAAATATGATACAGGCATTACATACAGACTTCAAGGAAGAGTTAGGTAAATTAGAAGAGGAATTAAAAGAGGTCAAAGAATTGATGGGGTAAGTGAACAAAGACTGCAACAAGTGGAAGGGAAAATTGAATTAATGGATAAGAGAGGAGATGGACAATCAGCTGACATTAACAGATAGGAACCAGGAAAAAACGATTATCTCTCTAGAGATGGATAGAGGTGATTATTACTTAAGATTCCAAAATGTTGAAGAAGAAAAGAGAGAGAATTTAGTGGACGTGATGGCTGAAATATTAGCAGATGCACTAGAGGAAAGCAAGGAAAAGATAATTAATGATATAGATGAGATATTTAGAATACATACTAGATATGCAATGAGAAATAAGCTTCCTAGAGAGGTCCATATAAGGTTTACTAAAAAAAGCCTTAAGGGCAGATATATTACAGAAACAGAGAAATGTCACAATAAAATATAAAGGAAGAGAGATAGTGATATTAAAGCAGATTCCAAGAAGAGTGAGAGACTTGAGAAAGGAGTATCAATTTTTGATAAAAGTCTTAATTGAAAAAGGGATAAATTTTAGATGGTTAATACCAGAAGGAGTAATGGTAAACTGGCAAGAATAGAGACACAGATTAGACACATTAGAGAAAGCAGAGCTTTTTTATGATTACTACTTTGGACAGCAAGAAGAAGAAAGGCTGAGAAGGGAAAGAGGAATTAGACATCAAGGAGATCAGATAGAGAAACAACAGGGTAAGTATAGCAAAGAACAGGAGGAAAGGGCGTTGGTAGAAAGAGTAAGGACAAAAGAGGCAAAAGAGCAAAGAGAGATGAGAATGATGAGATCAGCTAAAACCTTAAATAAATAATCATGGAAGAAGAGATAAAAATAATCTCGATAAATATAAATGGATTAAATTCAACCATAAAAAGGAAAAGAACACTAAATAAACTAGGGAAACTAAAAATGGACATAATTTGTTTACAAGAAGTTCATATTAGGAAACAACATAAAAATTTATTAGAATATCCAAAATTGGGAGAATTATACACCTCACTTGCGGACCAGAGTAAAAGAGGTGTGGCATTATATATTCAGAAAACAATACAAACTAAATTGATATATTCAGATGAAGAAGGACGAATCTTAATGATAGAAGTAATTATGAACTGTAAAAAATTATTATTGGTAACGATTTATGCTCCAAATGAAAATCAAGAGAATTTTTATCTAAAATTACATAAGAAAATAATAGAACTGGAATACGAAAGCATATGTATGATTGGAGATTTTAATGCTATTGTAAAGCCTGAGTTGGATTATAATACAAAAAAAAAAAAAATAAGACTCTAAGAAGAACACTTCCTAAATCCTTCTATAATATGGTGGATGAATTAAATATACTTGATGCTTGGAGAGAGAAATATCCGGAAAAGAAACAATATACATTCTATTCTAACAGACACCTGTCCTGGTCGAGAATTGATATGACATGGATGTTAACAGATTTATTTACAAATATACAAAATATAGCCATAGAAACAAACACATGCGCGGATCACAACCCAGTTACAATCATATGGAAAGGACAAAAAAGAGAACAAGATGGACATTAAACCAAACTATATTGAATGAAAAGGATTTTCAGCAATATATGAAAAAAGAAGTACTTTTCTTTTTTAAGGAAAACAAAAAAGAAGATACTTCACTTCAAAATGTTTGGGATACGGCAAAAGCATACATGAGAGGTCTTGCTATCACTTATTTGGGGAAAAAGAACAAACAGAAAAGACAAAATAAGGGAAAACTGGAGGAAGAATATAAGATACTTGAGAAAGAATTACAGAAAGATACACAAAACAAAAAGATTAAAAATTTAATGGAACTGAACAAACATAAAATGAACTTACTAGAAAATGAAGAAGTGGCAATGAAAATAAAGGCAGCCAAGCAAACCTTTTTTGAGCAGGCAAACAAACCAGGGAGATGGTTGACATATAAAATTAAAAAGGAGAAAGAGAAGAGATGGATTAAACAATTGGAAGGTGCTGAGGGGATTTTACAACATCGAAATGAAGAAAAGAAAAAAATAATCTGGGAATATTATGAGAACCTATATAAGCAACAAACAGTTTCAGATGATAGGATAAAACATTTTTTGGAAGAAACAGAGATACCTAAAATGCCGGAGAAATTTAAAAAGCTATTAGAAAGGGAAATAACAATGATGGAATTAATAGAAGCAATCAACAGACAAAAAAATGGTAAAACACCAGGACCGGATGGACTACCAGCAGAGCTATATAAGACATTGCAGGAAGTACTAGGTAATGTAATGTTGGAACTTTATAATGAACTTCTTTCTGAAGGAAAAAATATAGACATTACTTGCCACATTCTTTTGAGATGTTTTCCAATTTCTCAATTTAATCAACAAACCCAATATTCCATAGACATCCTTGAGCACTGAGCTTCCTTGTTGGTTTCTTATGCAGGTATTAAACAAGTCCAATCCTGTTCAGCTTTATGCACAGTAGGCCCAATCAGGATCATAGGTGCATAAAGGATATCTTGCTCAAAATCTAGTGCCAACTATGATACAGAATGAGACAACTTGCTGTCCCAACTCTTTGCGGGACAATTCGCCATGGTCAATTTGCCATGGGACAACTTGCTGCAGGATAATTTAACAATTCAATTTAATTATTTAAAATAAAAATTATTTTAATTTTTGTCATTCAAATAGCCTTTGGCATCCTTTCTTAAAGGATTCTATTCCACCATTTCTTTATATATTAATGTATCTCTTGTCCCACAGTGAGTTGTCCCATGGCGAGTTGGTCGTGGTGAGTTGTCCTGTGGAGAATTGGCCACAGCAAGTTGGCTGTGGTGAGTTGGCCACAGCGAATTATCATAGACCCCTTTAATTTGGACCTGGACCATTTTTTTGTATATTTTATTAATTTTTACAGTAACAATCTTTAGTATTTAGTAAGCAGCACATTGTCTGGGTTTACATGTTTGACATTAATAGTAATACAATTTCCATTCCTACCCTTTATTCCATTTTTCTAACCACTTATAAAAAATTTCCCATGTTTGAAAGTATTCTGAATCTTGCTTCGCCTTCATTTTCAATGTAAGCCTATCCATTTCTGCACAGTTCAAAATTTTTATATCTTCTTCAAATGGTATTTCTTCATTTTTCCAGTATTGAGCAAATGTAATTCTCACTGCTGTTAATATATGTAATATTAAGTATACACATTTCTTATAATTTTCTGAAATTATGCCAAAAAGAAATAATTCCGGTTTATAGTCTACAAGCGCCGCTATCATTTTTTCTAGCCACCTATGTATTTTTGACCAATAGTTCTTTGCTTTAGGGTATGTCCATCAAACATGATAATACGTGCCTGGATTTTGTCTGCATTTCCAATGATTGCTAGACATATTTTTAAACCTTTTTGCTAGTCTTGCAGGTGGTAAATGCAAAATTCTTTATAAGTAGCTGGCCTCGTTATTTTATAGTTTCTTTTCCATAGGTTTTGCCATTTTTCTAACTCTACATTGTGCCCAAAATTTTTTGCCCAAGTTATCATTGTTTCTTTAACTTGTTCATCTTCCATCTTTAAATTTAACAGAAAATTGTATAGTTTCTTAATCAATTTGTCATCTGATGACAATAATATCCGGTCTAATGTTGTCTGATCTTTGTAAAAACCAGATATTTTTGCATCTTTCTCATATCTCATTTGCATTTGCATATGTGTCCCCCATGATAGCTCAATGCCCTGTTCTTCCCATTCTTGTTTAGTTTGTAGTTTCCCCTCAGTATTCAAAATATCTTTATAAGTCACAAGTTTCTCATAATTAATTAAGATGTACCAATGCCTCCGTTTTCGAAATCCATCCTGGTATTTTCATGTAGGTTCTTGATTTTATCTTTTCCTATGTCAAAAGGAGTGCATTTCTTATATAGTGGTTTTGAAAGTATTTGTGAATTTTGTTCTTCTCATACCATAGGAAAGCATGCCATCCAAGTTGTAGATCATGCTCTTCCAGGTATAATAGTCTTTTGTTTCTAAGACAGGAATCTTCAAACTTGGCCTTTTTATGACTGGCTGAGGAATTCTGGGAGTTGAAGTCCACAAGTCATAAAAGGGCCAAGTTTGAAAATCCCTGTTCTAAGAGTTATTCATTCTTTTAACCATGTTAGTCCGGTGCTTGATAGTACAAGACCCAGTCTGATAGCCCAAAGCTTCCATTTTCTTTTGCTTCTTGTAACATTTTCAGTCTGATTCATACCTTTTTCCTTGCCAGATAAATTTCAGTATCAATGTATTTAATTCATTGGAAAAAAATTGACAATTTTTATTGGTATTGTTTGAAATAAAAAGAGTAATTTTGGTGTAAAATGTTCATTTTCACAGTCACTATTCTTCCTAATATTGATAGTAAATTTTTCCATTTTTCCAAGTCTAGTTTTATTTGTTTTAATAATTTTATATAATTATCTTCTTTGATTATTGCACACCTTGCTGTTAGATATATCCCCAAATATTTAACTTTCTTAACTACTTGAAGGTCTGTTTTTTTTTATAATTGGTTTTTTTGTTTATCTGTAAGGTTTTTAACTATAACTTTAGTCTTTTCTCTAATGATTTTCAATCCTGCTACTTCTTCAAATTCTTCAATCTTTGCTAATAATTTAGGACTTGTCTCTAACGGGTCCTCTAATATAAATACTAAGTCATCCACAAATGCTTGTAGTTTGTACTTTTCATCTTTTATCTCCATTCCTTTAATTTCTAGATACTGTCTAATATTCCTGTTCAACGCTTCCAGAGTTAAAATAAATAATAGTGGGGATAATGGACACCCATGTCTTGTGCCTTTTTTAATGTTGAAACTCTCTGTAAAATCTCCATTCACAATTATTTTGTTTGAATTATATTCATGAAATTTTCTCCAAAATCCAATAGTTTAGTTGTTGGACCATAAATTGCCAATTGACATTATCAAAAGCTTTCTGTGCGTCTAAAAAAATCAAAGCCATTTGTTTCCCTGGGTACATTTTGTAATATTCCAATGTGTCTAAAATCATTCTTAAATCATTCTTTATTTGTCTCTTTGGTAAAAATGGACCTGGATCATTTTTAAAGACTTACCTCAAAAGGTTTTGGGGAAACAGGATCTGTCAGATAAATATGGTAGTAGTGAAATCGTCCACCTGTGCTGCTGGCCAGCTCGTGCAAAAATTGATTGGCTCCAGTATCATCACAGTTAAATGATATAGTGTGAACTGGAATGTTTTGTCGAAGTTTGAGTTCATCTAAAATTCTATTGGGGTGCTGTGCAATGAACAAGGAAGGGAAAATGTGTAAATTTAAGGATATCCAAATAGAAAGTACTTAAATGATCACTTAGCCTTTAACAATAAATCAAGTAGTGTGAAAGCCTTTAATCATTATTCCATAGCAATCAGTGGCTAGGACTTTCTTAAATAGCCAAATTCCACTGGATGAGCTTTACATTCCAACGTAAAAGCTCTTGTCCAAATGACTCTAATTTCTATGTTGCAGCATTTCTGGACAATAATGTAGTTGGTTGGCCAATTTGGTCTAGTGCATGAGGCATCAACCAAAAACTGGGAGACCCACATTAGGCATGATAGCCAGCTAGGTAACCTTGGATCATTCTCCCTTACACAGCCTAACCCACTTCATTTGGCTGTTGGTGTGGGAAAGATAGGAGGAGGAAGGAGTACTATGTGTGTTCTCTGCCTTGAATTATTTATACAAATAACAAATAAACTGAGAAGCTTCAGATTTATCTGGCTTCACTTGGTCTATATGGCTGATAAAGCTAACCTAAGCACTACAATGTTCACTACAGGCTACTCTCATCTACTGTTGTTACTTTCCGGAAGAACCTCTATCTCCAGTGGCATTTTGGAGAGAACTTATGCTCTCTACTACACTCTAAAACTTTTCATCCCTAAGCCAAAAATAGTAGCTACTTGCATGAAGCATAGGAAAATACTAGTATTTGAAAACACCTCCCCAACCAACATTAAAAAAAAATAAACTTTATATGAACTATTTTTTGCATTTCTGTGACTATACACATACAGTCCATATTTACACGATATCAGATTCTATAATACATTAAATAAGTTATTCTTCTACCATCTATAGAGCCCTATTATTTTCCTCAAAGTAGTCAATATTTTAAGGTTTTTTAAAAATAGAGGGTTAAACAATGTCGAATTTGCTTTTTGTTGTTTGCTATTTGCACCTAGACCAGGGCTGGAAACCTGTTTCCTCTTGATGATTTGCAAAGTACCTCAGCCTAACAGATTTGGCCACAAAAATCCAGATGATCACTAGATAGGAACAAATAGATGTATAAATCTTTGCTGTAATTGTTCATACTTCTGAAGCCCACATCTTGCAGCCAGAACTAAGTTAAAAATCTCTTGAGGTTCACATTTCAACAATAGTTTTGCTCAATCTGAAAGTTCTTGACCATGGGTTGTCAGATTTACTGATACATTTCTTATTTCTATGGAATATTTAACTAAAAAGAAACAAACCAAAAATATATTTAAAGAGTCTCCCCCATCTTGTCCCTCAGTTTTATATCATAACAATAGTCGAATGAGCTGAACCTCTGAAGTAGTATCACTTGGGGAGAAGACTAGAGTCAGAGATCCACAACTTATTTACTGGCTAAATCTTTTCTAATCATTATTTACAATAGCATTACTCTGCAGCATAGTGAGGAAACCCAAACTCCATAGAATAAGCAATACAAAGTTCAAGTTCCAACATCACTATTCACATGAAGCTCAAATTCTGATAGTGTATGTTCTCTGATGCACACCGCTGACCGCTAGTGGTATATGTAAAGAAATAACCAACACTATGGTATAGCAACAGAGCATCCGGTTTTACCAGGTGTTAAAAGAAAAACAACGCTAAATGTACAGCTGCCATTTCTGGTATTGCTTCTCTATTTTATGCTTAGACTGAGCATTTCCATTTTTGCCATCATCATGTTTCTGTCTCTCATACCCCATTAAAATCATCTCTATTTAGATCAGCTAAACCTTTCTTTCACAGGATTACAATTGCTGTCTTTCCACTGCAGCTTTATCCTCCTATGAATATTGCCAGTTCTGTTCCCTGCTCAGTCTTTATTTAGAAAGACTTTTGTTCAGGTAGCAGCCTCCCAAATTGTTGTTTTCCCCTCCTAAACCTAATCCCATTTTCCCATAAACATCACATTTTGGAATGCCCTACTTTAGATACCGAAATGCTTCTTTGCCTTCCACTGTCACCATATCCTCCTCCCAATCTTTCATGTTTTCAATATGTGGATGGAATAAAGACCAGGAGGAGACACAGGCATGTATGCCTTCCTTCATCTGTCCCCTTGTAGTCAGTTTTACCATCCTTGGTCTACATCATTGTTTTGCTTTGTCATCTGGCCAGTGTTACATCATCATATTGTCTTGATATGATTTCCTTCTTCATAGCTACCTGATCAGGTCTCCCATCAGTAAGAAGATAAATGGCTTGAATGTCACAATCAGCAAAGGCAATCTGAAGCGCTTTCAGTATGTTTGTAGTAGTCCCAACCTAGGCAGCAGTGGAGGAACAGAGAAAAATTAAAATGTTAATGTGGGCAGATTTATGGAATGGGTTATAAAAATTATTTCTCAGATGTGCTGGTGAGGCATATTTTTAAAATCTTTACATAATCTAATTCACATTGTAGATAATATATGTGATATTTAAAATCCCATTATTTTTTACTGATATGTTCAATAGCTGAAAGTAATAGTTCTGTAATGAAAGACTACAAAAATATATTTCTGTAGTTTGCTGGAAGAGAAGAGAACTGTTAAATGGAAACCAGCTACTTGGATTAAGTAGCTATTTGGATTAAATGAAGGACTACTGGCACTTCATTAGCCTGAAGACAGCTTCAGAAATGATTTTTGACAGATAACATTAACTTATTTATTTATTACTACTTAAATTTATATGCCTCCCATCTCACAATCAAGAGACTCTGAGTGGCTTACTGAGTTCTCTCTCTTCCTTTAGAGCAGTGGTGGAGAATATGAAGTATATGTGCAGTAGATACTAGGCCTCTCAATCCAATTAATAATTCTTCCCGGGCCATGCCCTTTGTCCTGCTTTAAATTACCAAGTGTATCTACACCAATGAGCATGTCAGATGGAGAATTCTGGGAACTGAAGTCCATACATCTTAAAATTGTCAAGGCTGAGAAACCCTGGTCATTTCCTTCAAAGTAATGAACACTCCCAATATCCCTCAATATTCCTTCCTGGATCAGGAATGTCCTTCTGAACCAACATTCTTGCTCGTTAAAAATATTACTATAGAAAAGAAGGCTGAGTTATTTTAAATCAAATCTGTATTCTAGTAAGCATGGTTACTGCATTAATAGAAATTAATACAATAAAGTATAAGTGTTTATAAAAACACCAATTACCATAGTAATAGTAGAGATAACCTAAATTCTGTTGGTCTACTTGGAAGGATTCCCTTCATATGAAATTTTACAGCAACACAAATATATTGAAACAGAACATGGAAGAAGGGAAGGAGAACTCCAAAAATAGTTTAGCTCCTTTCCATTTGCTTAAACTTTTTTCTATAGTTACCTGAAGTTGTTTTATCCAAAGTATAGCATCTTCTATATTTTCTTCATTAACTTCAGCAAGTTTGTCTTTCCAGGCTATTGCTTCAGCATCAAATTTAACAAAGTTAAACCTGGTTTTGTTCTGAAACTGTTCCTGTAAGAAATTGTCTGTTGAATGATTTCTCTGAATGAGAAAAATCATATTCCCTTTGCCCACCCTGTCATCATATATGAGAAGCAGTCAGCTATGGGATAATATTTCATTTGTCTAGCAAATACGTATTAAATGTTTTGGAAATTGTAATTCTGCTTCTTAAAAACACTGTCTACCTGTACTTAATTCTCTCTATGAGGTACTCAGCATTGCCAGAATTCCCACTAGCATAATGAACTTAATTACTTACTTTTACTTACTTACTTACTTACTTACTTTTACTTACTTACTTACTTACTTTTACTTACTTACTTATAAAATTTATTTGCCACCCATCTCGTATCCAACTCTGGGTGGCTTAGAACATAAAAACACTGAAAAGATTAAAACTATCCATTATAAAAACAGTGTCAACATAGCAAATGATGACACCATCACTGGAGAACAATGATATGAGGAATGTCCTAATTCATTGTCTGCCATTCCATCTGAGAAAATGGACTTAGAAAATCTCTTCCACTTGGAGGGAACTAGTAGAACATTGATGTGGAAGAATAAGATTCTAGCTCAGTTCTAACAACTCCAGGAAAGGTTGGAAAAGATTACACCTAGAACTAATTCTAGGCCGTGCATATTCAGCTAGAGTACGGGTGTCAAACTCGCGACGTCACGTGATGTGTCGTGACATATCATGATTTTTTTCCCATTGCTGGCAATGGACTGGACACAGTTTTGGCATGACACATCCGGCCCGCAATTTGACACCCCTGAGCTTGAGAGATCAACAATACAGGAAATCCTCAATTTACAGCCACAACTGAGCCCCAAAATTTCTGGTGCTAAGTAAGACAGTTGTTAAGTGAATTTTATCCCATTTTATGACCCTTCTTGCCACAGTGGATCAATCAGTTAAGTGAATCTTGCTTCTGCGTTGACGTTGCTTGTCAGACGATAGCAAAAGGGATCACATGACCCAGGGACACTGCAACTGTCATAAATCAAATTATCATTGGGATATTGCAATGGTCATAAGTGTGAAAAGCAGGCATAAGTCACTTTTTTCAGTGATGTTGTAACTTCGAAAAGTCACCAAATGAACTACTATAAGTCGAGGACTATCTGTAAAAAGCAACTTCCTAGATCCGTTTCAGAAAAAGTCAGTCATTCTACATTAGGACACTTGTCTTCACCAAAACAGCTGTCACTCACTCTTATAAGTTGATATATTTTCTCCTTCACCACAGGCAGTTTATATACCATAGACTGCGATACATCAATGAGGATATAGATGTGGTCTTCTGTGACATCGCCAAAGAGCGCTCGGCTTCCTTTCTTAAGATCCTGAATTCTACACAAGAATACTTTTTTACATGAAATGAAAGGCATAGGAAGAATGATGTCTGATGTCACTTCCTAGTATTCTAAATCATTTTATTTTTATTAATTTAATATAAAGGGTAAAAGAATGCCAAGTAAATCACTTTAAGAAAGGCAAAATAAATATTATTAATTAAAAGACATTTGAAATTGGAAGATAAACAAAGATCATTGGATAACTTGCAGGAATATAGTTTCTAGGCTATATATTGTAGATTTTAAGTGTTAGTAGTGAGTTAAAACAGCTGTCAGTCACTGAATTGGTATTACAATTTCCATTATTCTCAGCAAAGACCTAAAGCATCAAATGAAGATTAGCAATAATCAGACTGTAGTCTTCATACTACCATGTAATTGTGCCATCACATAACCTAATCTACTTTATGGAGTTATTGAGAAGGTACATTTCAATTGGACTTCTCTTTCCATCAGCTTTGAACAAAGGTGGAATATAAACAAAATAAATAAATGCAGACTAAAACTCATTCTGGCAGCTTTAATGATGCACTATTCAGTGTTTCATTGTTACTACTTTATTAACATCCATCCCGTAAATATTGAATAAATATTTAATATTAAAGAAATAATACTTGCTTTTAGAAGCTCCATGGTAACTCTTATGAATGTTTAATTCAAAATTTATTCAAAATCTCATAGATTAAAAGAATAAAGTAGGACTTGAATAGTCATAATTTCAACATGATGCAAATGTCTTAAAGGAAATTTATGACTACATTGGGATGAGTACTTCTAGAACTTTGGCCTTTATTTTAGTAAAATATATATATAGAATATGGGGCATTACAGAATAAAAGTGATGTTTTTACAGCTGAATTTCATTAAAAATAAGATACTAGGTTTGAAAGTCATAGAATGTAATTATGCTACTCAAATGAATCTTCATAAATGAATACAATATACGTACATTTGATATTGTAATTAGAAACCCTTAAGATTGCCCAAGTTTAATTTTTAAACAATTAGAGTACCCAGCATTAAATATTAGAGTACTTGGTCATTTCAAAAACTTTTTAATAAGATACATCAGCTTTTTTTCCTCACAAGATCTGTTTTTAGAAAAGATGTTATCCAGATGCAAACTAACCTTTCTTCCATCTGATAAAGAGCGCTCTTCATTTTATTTTCAAACTCCTTGCATCTTTCTTTATCCAAATGTAAATGAATTATAGATCCATCTTCCAAGACAGTATGTATAAAATTGTTACAGTATTTGGCATGGATTACCTTTTTATTTGTCTCCTAAAAGAACAAAGATTTCCTCTGTGAGTATGATTTCTTAAGTTTCCCTAAATCTACTCAAGCTTTAAAATCAGTAGATGTAAATGAGTTTGAAATGAATTCAGTAAGTGGTGTGCAACAACAGGACAAGAGAATCAGAGGCCTTGTAAACTTTTGATCAGCCTTGACTCAGCCAATGCAATTTAAATACACTGAAGTACAATCCCCTACAGAGACTGGGATATTGTGAATTCTTATTTAGCATACTGGAGACAAGCCCAGATAGATCAACAACCTTGAAATATAGGTAATCCTTGACTTGCAACAGTTCATTTAGTGACTGTTCAAAGTTACCACGGCACTGAAAAAAGTGACTTCTGACCATTTTTCACACTTACGACTGTTGCAGCATCCCCATGTCATGTGATCAAAATTCATATGCTTCGCAACTGACTCACATTTATGACAGTTGCTGTGTCCTGGGGTCACATGATCCCCTTCTTCAACCTTCTGACAAGCAAAGTCAATGGGAAAGCCAGCTTCACTTAATACCCAGGTTACTAACTTAATAATTGAACTGATTCACTTAACAGCAGTGGCAAGAAAGATCATAAAATGGGAACATAATTTACTTAACAACTGTCTCACTTAGCAACAGAAATTTTGGCCTCAACTGTTGTCATAAGTTGAGGACTACCTGTACATTTTGAAAGTTCTGCTGCAAAGTCTCTGTGGTTTACTGTAGATAAAAAATAAAGAAGTCACTCCCTTTGTTGTTGAAATGATTATTATGAATCAAATTATTTGTATTCCTGCACTAAAAGGGAGTAGAAAATGGGATACTACTATTTCTTTCTAAATTTCATTCTTACAATGCATTTTTATATCTTTTGAGGGCAGATGGTCCTCGTTAACAACTGTTTATCACTGACCATTCAAAGTTATAAAAGTTATGAGGACTACCTGTCTAAGTACTTAACTTAGATCCCTTTATTTCAATGAATTATTAAATTTAGCTGTTATGGTCAGACTGAATCCAATGTATTTATTGAGAACAGTAATACAAAGTCATTCTAGATGTGATGCTTGGGATGCTTTTTCTTTGAAAAACCCAGAATCAGTTTGGCTAATCATGTAAACACTTCCTAGAGCAGTGGTTCTCAACCTTTTTAATGCCGCAACCCCCAACCGGTCGTAAGTCGAGGACTACCCAACCGGTCGTAAGTCGAGGACTACCCAACCGATCATAAGTTGAGGACTTTCCCTGCCCGGGAGCGTCGCGCATGCATGGTGCCACCCCCTGCGCCAGCCGAGGCGTAGCTGGCAAGCGGCAGAGATGGAACAGGCCAACCACCAGCCCAAGGGAGGTAAGGCACCCGCAGGGCCCCACGGGTGCCAGCAACCCTCCCTGCGCCTTCCGGCCTCCCACCTCCCACCCCTGGCCCTCTTTTACTTACATTTTTAGTAGTTGCTCAGCAGGGAGGGGTGGAAACTTCCAGACAGCTCGCCTTCGCTGCAGACAACTTGCAGCACCGTTTGTAGAATGGGACTTTTGGCGGGCTCAGCAGGGCAGAGACAGCCTAGACAATTCCTATTGGCTTTTGAAAGCCAATAGAATTAGACTCTATTCAAGAGAGTCTATTCTATTGGCTTTCAAAAGCCAATAGAATAAAAGGGAGTAGCACAGCTAAGGAAAAGGGGAAAAATGGCGGACTGCGTTGTTTGGTGACCCCCGTGAAATGGTCGTTCGACCCCAAATGGGGTCGCAACCCACAGGTTGAGAACCACTGTCCTAGAGGACTAAGAAAATAGCAAACATACTCTTTACCCCATTCAGTCACAATTCCTAACCAGTTTTAATAACAGCAGGAAATCTTGCTAGGCAAACAATGGAATCCTGTAAGGGTATCAACATGACAGTGGCCAGAAGTGCAAATGAAGCTTTCTGCTATAGAACTAACAAAATCTGGAAATCTACTTGATCTCCCCACTAACCTCCCACAACTCCACCAAAAAGAAGAAAAAATATAATACCACAATGGGAAGATTTCTTACAGCATTTGTCTGAAGAAATTCATCTTCTGGCTTGGATTTTATATCTACAATTCCATTTACATGACGAAAAGCACAATCAGAAAAAGCTCTAGGTATGGTTAGATTCTGGGCTTTCAAACCATTCTTCTGAAGCCACTCTCTGGAATTCACAAAATCTTTTACTTCTGGCTCACATTCTATTTTATCCATTTCTTCTGCTGATATAAAAATGTTAATAAATAAGCATGTGCTAATATTACTCTGAAGCTATTAAATGACTTAATTTTAATTGGATATATTTGCATAGACATATTTATTTATGGTACAACTAATACATTCTCCTTTCCTTAGAAATATTATTTTTTTATAAGTAAGTCTCCTCTGATCTGAGTCAATTCTTAATCACTATGGTCTTTTGCAAGTCTACGTAATTTTCTTAGGTAACAGCTTGCAATGTTTTGCAACTGCCTTCTTCTGGGATTATGACCTGCTGTAGAGATTTGTGATTGAATAGGGCTGCTGTTCTCCTAGACATTGGAGTGAGATAAGGAGAAAAAGCAGCTCACTTTTGACCTGGAGGGGCAGCTGCGTTGTCATGAGACTGATGGACTGACCTGACTGCTATTCAGAGCTACTGTGGGGAAATTTTGAACAAGCAGTTCCATTGGTGCAGCAAGGTTTATAAATGTTGGGATCTCTGGGAGAACACCAATCTCCTCAGTAGCTACAGGACATGGAGAGGGGAGGGGAGAAGACAGAAGGGGAGACTAAAAAACCAATGTTATCTCTTGTGAATTGAGAAGTTAGAGAAGTTGGAGAGTGAAGTGTGCAGGGCAAGTGTCCTTTGGGGGAGAAAGAAGGTCCAAGTGTGGCTTTTCTAGAAGACGGGAAGCAAAGACCTAGAGGGATGAGCTCCGTTCAAGATTCTGGAAGGCTGGGAAGAATCCACGTAGTTGCAGGTGACATCTTCACTCAAGACTTAAAGGAGACAGAGAGAATTGACTACCAGTACAGAAATCTTGGTTTTTGGGAGAAAATTTGGCAGAAGACCCTACACAGAGCAGGTGTTTTGGCTGAACTGGAGAAAGACCAATAATGCTGAACACAGTCCAGTTCATTCCTTCCTTAACCAGCAATCTCTTTTATCAGAGTCTGTTAGGATCACTTTTTGTAATAAATTCTTTCCATAGAAGAGAGATATTATGTTGAACCCAGATCTACTGAGGCAAACTGTGGCAAAAGAATAAATGAAGGTGAAGATCATAATAATTTGAACAAACAGTAGCTATTGCATCAGTAAATGAATATATATGTATGTACACTGAAGGACTAACAAGCTAGATCTTCTTAACTTCTCCAATTTAGCTCTGTTATTTTTCTCAAGTTCAGAAGTAGATTACAAATAAAGTTGAGAGGAGTTTTATTCTAATATTTAGACTGTTTCTACACATTTACAATATATAGATTGATCTCTAAAGGATGGCACATATTGAGAATGCTTTCCATCAAACTGTTCATAAATCAAACCTATTGTAATTATGCATTTATAAAATACCTGCCACTATTTCAGACTTCTCAAACTCTATGAGAATTTTCTCTATCTGGATTAAGATATTCTTGGCTTCCTCTAGTTCCTTCCAAATCAGGTAGACATCTTCTCTCACACCAGTTCCTGCATTTGAGGGAAGATATAAAGACACAGAGAATAGATTAGCTAACACTGATGAGAGTTTTTCTACACTTTCATAATCTTTAAATATTGTTGCATCTGATAACCCCAGGGAAGCTACAACAAATCATTACTCTTTTTAAAAGAGCTTGTTCATGACTATTTAATTCTGGGGAGCCAATTCTATGCTGGATTCATATTTCATGAAAATAAACTAAACCTGTTAATTCCAGAATTATCATACTTCAGGGCATTATGCAGAGACCTAGCTCCCTGGATAAAGCTTTAATGCTTGGAAAGATGGAAGGAAAGAGAAGAAGAGAAGGATCAGCAGCAAGGTGGATGAACTCACTTAGAGTGGAAATGGCTGGAATGTCTAACATTGGAAGATCTGAAGGACCTTTTTAGGGACCAATTGTCAGGAAGAAAATCTATATGGTCACTAATAGTTGACAGTGATTTAATGACACAAAATCAATCATGAATTATATACCTTTCTCTGAATTGGGCCCAGAGCCTTTTAATAAAAAATATCACACATTATTTTAATATGTATTTAACAAGTCTCAAAGTTGGTGAAACCACCCAGACATCCAGGTTATTCAAGCATATTGTCTTAAAAGAATGAAACTGGGAATAACCAGGTGAGGAAAATGGAGGAGTATCACTGCTGTTGTTTTTTCTTTTCCTGTGCAGTCCCACGTAAGCTGAGGAAAGCTATGTTGATAGGCTATGCAGTTTTTCAAGACAGTATGGAAAGTGAGTGTGTATGCCATGAAGAGAAACAAATAGAAACCATCCTCTCCAAGATTCTCTCAGACAGCTTCCATCATAGAAGTCTATGAAGTCATTCTATGAAGAAAAGGAGTCCCTTTAGATCAATTCTGAAATACACCCTTATCAGAAATTGTCATCCTGTACTTCCACTTCTATGGTGCTTCTTAGAGACTACTTTTGCTCTCTCTTAATGTAAATATATCACCACCATTCATTCCAAAGCCTTATGTCTCAAACACTCCCAAACATGTGAGTATTATTGCAGCGAATGAACATCTAACCCTCATCAATGTACACAGCATAGAAAAGTGCCAGACATGCAGGAATCATGAATACAATATAATTAAGGAGAATGCAGTATAATTATGTTTATATACTGCAGATGAATGCAATTCCACAAATGCCTGTGCCATAAGTCTGCCAGTCAATATAATGTTGTAAAATTCAAGTCAGTTTGGTTCTCTCCGTCTCTCTCCTTTTCACTCCTGCCCTCCCTCCCTTCCTCCCTCCACATGAGACCAAGGAGTCATGCCCTATGGAAATTGAAACAGATAAGTCTTATCATCAACGGCAAGCATTTTGTTGTGAACCTATAAGAATTATTTTAAAAATTTTTGGAAAAGAATATTTCACTACTATGAATAGATGAAAAGAACAGCTATTGGGAAGCAGATCCAATTTTAATTAAATATACCTGATAATATGCTATTCTGTTGGCTTTATAAACCAATCAAATGAAATATCAGCATCAACCTTACTTGGTGCCGCAATGGTACTGCAGTTGGTGTGAACCACGTCATAAACTGATTTGCTAGCAAAGCAGATTTCAGAGAGGGCCATATGTCAGAGATTTGGCAGCAATCGATTCCTGCTGTCATTAATATAAGTCAATACAAATAATGCATGCATAATTTTCATAAACTCCAGAACAATTTAGGAGAAGTAGTAAAGCTATTCTCAGTCTTTCATTTTCACTTTTCATTGTGCATTTTTACGTGTTATTGTATACTGCCATCTCCTGGGATTTTCCTATATCTCCTTCATTTGAGTAAAAAAACACTGAAATGAATATAAACCAATTCTATATATTTTTTTAACAAATGGAAGGATCTCATTCATTTTATTTATGATTTATAAGTACAATGATCATACTATCAATATATTTTTCAATTCTGAAGCCCAAAGGATAATTTACAAAGCATCGATTTTTAAAAATCACATGTTTAAAAAGAAAAAGGCAAAGCAATTAGAATCACTTTGCCTGTAATCTTATACCATCTGACTGAGGATAAAATCCACAGAAACCAACATTTCATTCTGAAAAAAATAGGGGTGAGATTACACAGTACACAAGAATGCAATTCATATTCCAAAGAAATAAGCTGTTGCCACGGTATGAATGAATGTGTGAATGTGTTTGTATATGTGTGTTACATTCCTATGTCTGCCCATCTCAAAACAGTGAGTCTGGGTGATGTATAAAGATTAAAAATCAAGAGGTATAAACAGTAATCCATGGCACCAAATGTAAAACAATATAATCATAAAACCACATCAACAGTGGAACACACCTAATCTCAAATGCCTGGGGAAACAGCCAGCTCTCTAGAGCTTATGAAAAGCTATCAGGGTCAGAGCCATCCAGCTCTCCAGGGAAGATGCTGTTCCATAGGACAGAGGCTGCCACTGAGATAACTCCAGAGCCCAATAAGATGATACTGTTTCATAAGGGGGGGACCCAAAGTGTGCTCTCTTGAGTAGATATGGTGAGGGGAGGAGAAACATGGGCAGGATACAAACGCAGAAACGACTCTTCCTTAATTGCTACCTGTGTTTCAGAGAGTGGGACTCCAGAAAGCCCAAGAGAAAGATTTTATTATTCAGGCAAGTTTAAGTGGTCCTTAATTTGTCTTACAACCATGAAAGAAAAAATCACTGTCCACACTTGTTCCTTTATGCAAAGCATTTCTAGAGAAACAAAGCTACCCATGGGACAACATATAATTATCACAGAAGGCAGGATGCCAGAGTTTCAAGGAAGATAAAGCCAATATTCAAAAGAAATTCTCCTGCCTGGCTTCTTAAGCAACAGTTTCTAAAAATTATTGACTTAACCAATGTAGAGATTTGTTTTGGCTCAAACCAAGTAAGAATGTTAATGCCTATTAATATAGTTTAAATTCTCTTTTGTAAAAGCGTTCTTTTTTTTGACTGGATTTAATTATCAGGAGCAGAGACAAGGAATGCAATCTTGCACATACTGCAAACATCTACCTGGTTCTGACATGGAAGGCATGGTTTTCTGTTAGGAGTAGAAGTTGACGCAAACCCCAGCCTCCTGAACTCCGTCTCCTCTTTTCAAATAACAAGTAATTTAACTTCCACTCCTGTTTTTTTAAGCCTGTATTTTCTATTTCAGTGTTTTTCAGTGTATGAGAAACAAATTACTGTGTACAAAATACTATAAAGCAACTACACAGGATATTTAATTTAAATCAGAATTTATGGATTGATAGATTAGTAGATCTAATACTCTAAATACTGTTTAATATTAAATTTGAATAGTGTCACTGCCATTGCACTGGGAGGAGGGCAAGTGACAAAACACAAACTATGATATCCCAGCGTATATGCCTCACAATTCACGTATTTGCACCTGACATTGGGATGCAAATATGAAAGGGCAGCATTTGCGTGGTGGTGTCATGGTGTATTTCTTATCATTATAGCTTCCTGCCAATGGCTATGATCATTGTATTTGTGACTCTTAACTCTATATGATTGCCTGTGGTGCATGAATGCTTAATGTTTTTACAAAGCGTTTTGACAAGTGAATGGGACTGAAAAGAATTGCATTTTTCTTTTTTTTTCTTTTTTTTTATTGAAAAGTTTTATACAAATTTTTTTAATACAATACAATATCCCCCCCTACCTCCCCCCCACCCTAACCCTCCCCCCCTCACTTCCCAGAGTTGATTACAGGGTTAAAAATAAACAAACAAATTCTAGCTAAGCTTATCCAACTATTGTTGTTGTTGTTAATTGCGAAGTTGTGTCCGACCCATCGCGACCCCATGGACAACGTTCCTCCAGGTCTTCCTGTCCTCTACTATCTTCTGGAGTCCATTTAAGTTCACACCTACTGCTTCAATGACTCCATCCAGCCATCTCATTCTCTGTCGTCCCCTTCTTCTATTGCCCTCAATCTTTCCCAGCATTAGGCCCTTCTCCAGTGAGTCCTTCCGTCTCATTAGGTGGCCAAAGTATTTGAGTTTCAACTTCAGGATCTGGCCTTCTAAAGAGCAGTCAGGGTTGATCTCTTCTAGGACTGACCGGTTTGAACGCCTTGCAGTCCAAGGGAACTCGCAGGAGTCTTCTCCAGCACCATAGTTCAAAGGCCTCAATTCTTTGGCGCTCAGCCTTTCTTATGGTCCAACTTTCACAGCCATACATTGCAACTGGGAAAACCATGGCCTGGACTATACGCACTTTTGTTGGCAGGGTGATGTCTCTTCTTTTTAGTACGCTGTTTAGATTTGCCATAGCTTTCCTCCCCAGGAGCAAGCGTCTTTTAATTTCTTGGCTGCAATCCCCATCTGAGGTGATCTTGGAGCCCAGAAAAATAAAATCTGTCACTACCTCCATTTCTTCCCCATCTATTTGCCAGGAATTGAGAGGGCCGGATGCCATGATTTTGGTTTTCTTAATGTTCAGTTTCAAGCCAACTTTTGCACTCTCCTTCTTCACCCGCATCAAGAGGCTCTTTAGTTCCTCTTCGCTTTCTGCCATTAGAGTGGTATCATCTGCATATCTTAGGTTGTTGATATTTCTCCCGGCAATCTTAATTCCAACTTTTGATTCATCTAGCCCTGCCTTTCTCATGATGTGCTCTGCATATAAGTTAAATAGGCAGGGCGACAGTATACAGCCTTGCCGGACTCCTTTTCCAATTTTGAACCAATCAGTGGTTCCGTGTCCAGTTCTCACTGTTGCTTCTTGACCCGCATATAGGTTTCTCAAGAGACAAATGAGATGGTCTGGTACTCCCATCTCTTTAAAAACTTGCCACAATTTGTTGTGATCCACACAATCAAAGGCTTTTGCATAGTCAATGAAGCAGAAGTAGATGTTTTTCTGGAACTCCCTAGCTTTCTCCATGATCCAGCGTTATGTTGGCAATTTGATCTCTAGTTCCTCTGCCTCTTCGAAATCCTGCCTGTACTTCT